TTATTTTTCCCCCCAAATTCTACCTTAGGCTCAAATTCTTATTCTCTCACTCTTTACTCCTTTAAATGTTATTATCCAAGCTCAAATTTCTTGTTAATTTGTCTTATAAATTTGGTTGTAAACTTTGAATAATCATTTTCTTCAAAGTCTGAACAAGGTTTCTAAAGATATGGAGCTATTCTTAACTTGATTAGATACCCTTAAAAGAATACAGCAGGTAGTAAGGATTTGAATTTTTTACCAAATGTTTCATTTGGATAGTCATTTGTTAGTAGCTTAGATTTGGTTGCATAATTAAGAGAAAGAAGGATGGAAGAGTTGCTGATACAGTTCTGAATACCGAGACTAATTGTAGCTTTTTAACTAATATTCAGGTTTATCATGAAATCATTGCTCATTCTTTTTTGGTGATTTTACTTGAATCAGATAGGGATCTGTGTCCCACGGCTTCCTGCTAGCCAATTCAAAAGGGGTACATGTGAGAAGAAACAGTATTTGACATTTTAGGGCCTGTGGGGACACACTGGATCTCTCATACCATTTCCAGAAAATCTAATGTATGTATAGTACAGATTTTTTTTCAGACTTAATATCATGCATCTTTTATACATTCAAATTTAAGACATTTGAAGTCAATAAGGCAGTTCTGATGCGCATCGAAAATAAAGTTACAGACTATTGACATTGTTGCATTTCATGGTAGCCTAAGGGCCTAATTTACTTATATGCTTTTTAGAAAATTGTACAGATAAGTAGTAAACATGGTCAATAAGTTCTTGGAAACTGTGCCTTTAAACGAAATGACCATAATGAAATCACATTGTAGAGTAACACAGTTTCTTTCAATATTGGCTGGATTGTTTTTTTTTTTTTCTCATCAGTGTTACAATAAAACATTATTTAAGGTTCTGCTGTATAGCACTAAGGAAGTCCTGATTCATGTAAATTAGTAGTTACAAGTGGTAATAGCAGTAGATAAGGAGCTTGGGAGTAGAGAGCTGCTGCTTCAAGCTAGATCCTGATGTTCTACTTCGGCAGCAGTGTTCATTCCATCTGCTTACATAATTTACAGGGAAAGGATAAATGCAAAAGTGAAGATCTTAATAAAGCATGGCTGGCCTGAAGATACTTGGTTTCATGTGGACAAACTCTCCTCAACTCATGTGTATCTTCAGTAGCATAAAGAAGAGAAGATAGACATTCCAAAGGAAGTGCTGATGGACTGTGACCACTTTTTAGTATTCATGGTTGCAAAGGGAACAACTGTCACTGTGGTCTGTGTGTCCCTGGCCAACCTGAAGAAAACAGCTGACATGGATGTGGGACAGATAGGCTTTCACAGGTAGAGGGATGTGAAAACTGTGACTGTGAAGAAGAAAGTGAGTCACATCCTGAACTAGATCGAAAAAACCAAAACAGAGTAGTTCCCAGATCTAACAGCAGAGGAAGAAAGTTGGGATTGTAAAGAGAGGAAAGAGGGGCCTCCCCTGGTGGCGCAGCGGTTGAGCGCTGGGCTGAGAGGCTGCCCACAGCCTCTGCAGTGCCGGAGGGTCCCACAAAAAAAAAAAAAAAAAAAAGAGAGGAAAGAAAAAAGCCTAAATTCAGGAAATGAAAAGGAAGAGATGAAGAAGAAGGAAATAGATAAATTTAGGATCTATTCATCTCTAATCAAAGTTGAGACTATTACTTCAATCCAGGATGTCAGTGATTTGGATGAGCTTATGTGAGTGAGAAAAGGACCTTTTAAAGATGTGAATTTAGGGACAGTTGCAGATATTTTGATTTCATCTCTCTTCTGAATTATAAAAAACAACCAATCAAAAATTCTACCTTCCTTCTACTCTAATATTAATCAGTTTTGGAGTTAAAATTGTTCCCCTTTTTTTGCTGACAGAAAAAGATCAAATTGTGTGTGTGTGTGTGTAAAATGTAGTTGGACGTGAAGACAGGCTATAATTTTAGGAAAGTGAAAATATTTTCACCAGAACATGTTTTGATACCTCTTAGAAGTTGTGACTGCCCTTGTTCATGGAATAGACTTTAAAACAAACCAACTCTCTTAAAAGTATTTCTATTACTGTGGTCTGAAAAGTAGATGGCTTAAAAAGCTTTTCATATCCTTTTTTTTAAAGTAGTTATAAGTAGTAATAGCTTTTAATAGTTCTTTTTAAGCAGCTTAAATTGATTCAGGTGTCTGATTTGAAATTTTTGTATTGAACTTTGGCTATTAACAATTGTTAACATTTCTCATTTAAGCATAAAAGTCAGATAAGCACAGAAACTTAAGTGCTAAAAATATGATGGTGGCCTAGGGGTTAAGTCTCAGTGCTATCCCCACTATGTCCTGTGTTCGATCCCCAGCCAGCTAGCTAATCCAAATACGCCACAGCAGACCTCTCCTGTCTCACCGGCTGCGCCTCTTAAAAGTGTATTTTAATAAATCCACCTGTTCTGCTTCCCACTGTATCTCTTGTGAATCCTCTCACACACACACTGTGCCTTTAAACCTCTGGCCTACACCCCAATTCTTCTGTGTAAGTAAGTAAATAAATGAATAAATAAATAAATGTCACAAATCACAAGATGCCTATTTAATATTTACTTGTTATTATTATACACTATACCAAGCACCCACTTTGAGAACAGTGCTTGTTTTTGGAGAATGTTGCTTCTGTAATTGAACTTTGAACTTTGCAAATTTTTTTTCAAAGATTTGTTTTTATTTATTTATGCATTTAAGAACTAGGGTGTAGGCCAGAGGTACCGGAGGTGAGCGGATTCACCTGAGACGGAGTAGGGAGCAGAACAGGTGGATTTACTGAAATACACTGCTGAGGGGAGCAGTGTTTGAGACAGGAGAGGTCTGCTGCCCATGTGGGTTAGCCACCTGGCCAGGATGGAACTCATGCCACAGTGGCTGGCAATAGCTTGATAGAGCTGAGATTTTAACCTCTGCACACCCTCAGGGAGGCCAGGAACTTTGCAACTTTTTGGATCATTTGAAGGGAGGAGATATTTGAAGCGGAGACAGTTTAAGTACTTCATAGGATGTAAGAAGGATTAAGTAAAATAATACTGGCAAAATTCTTAGCATGATGTGCCACAAATGGTATACAGCTATTTTCAACATTTAATAAGTAATTGACCTAATAGGTTGAATTGAGGGGCATAGGAGAGCAGCTGAGTATTTGAGGTAAAATCAGTATTTTCCATTCTGGAGGACAAGACATTGTGGAATAGCAACAACTGGAGTAAAAGAAATACCAAATTCAAATCCCTTCTGCTACATAATGACTGTTTTCACTCTGCTGAATCCACTGTAAAAGAGGGATAATATTTCCTCCACTGTAAAAGAGGAATAATATTTAACCTATTTATATGTTGTTATGAGAGAAATAGTCATTGATTACAAGGTAGTAGTTGGCACGTAGTAGGCTTTAATAAACAATAGCTATTAAAGAAGAAGCTAATGTTAGGACGAAGTTTAACCTTGTTTACCTTTAACTTGGTCAAGAAGAATTAGAGGGCCTCCCCGGTGGCGCAGCGATTGAGCACTGCGTTGTGAAGCTGCCCACAGCCTTTGCAGCGCTAGCTCCATCCCCTGCTGCCGGGCGAGGGTCCCACATGGCGCGCAGACCTCTCCTGCCACCCACTGCTCCCTTCAGCAGTGTACTTCCTCAGTCTGCCTGCTCTGCTCTTCCCTCTGGCTCTGGTGAATTCTCTAACCCTCCCGCGCTTCTGACTGTAGCCAGTGCTCGAATAAATAAATAAATAAATAAGCAAATCTTTGGGAAAAAAAAAAGAATTAGATGTTGCTAGACAGTTAAGCAAAGGACAATAGCTCTGCTTGGTATGGCTTATGAAGATCTGACTGACTTTATTCTTGGAAGAGTTCCCTAAAGTTATATCATTATATTGATATCTTTATTAATCTTTGCTAACCTGTTCTTTTAAGTTCTTAGTATTCTACCACATCCTTTTTGTTCCATAATCCTGCATTTATTTGCTACCTGTTCCTGTAATAGATAAGGGGGCAGCTAGGGAGTAAACTCAAAACAGTAGCTTGTTATACCTAATATAATTTCATATAGCTAATGGTCTGATATGGTAGAGAAGAGAGTGGAAAAATACTGGAGCCAAAAGAAACTAATCAGTTTGTTGCTCTTACTGTTGTGTTTTAACAACTGTTTTATTATGTATACTTCAGGTTCTCTAGACTTTATATTGAGACTATTTTTGAATTTCTGCGAAGGTGCAGCCTTAAATATACAGACTTCCTTAAGATTCTGGTTAAAACAAAACATCCTCCCAGGTGGTGCAGCGGTTGAGAGCTGGGCTGCGAAGTTGCCAGCAGCCTCTGTAGCGCCGATTCGATCCCCAGCTGCCGATCCCCGGCTTCTTGGGAGGGTCCCACATGGCTCGCAGACCTCTCCTGCAGCCCGCTGCTCCCCTCAGCAGTGTACTTCGGTCCTTCTGCCTGCTCTGCTCCCCGCTCTGGTGAATTTTCTCACCTTCCGTGTTGCTGGTTTTTTTTTTGTGTGTGTGTGTGTGGGACCCTGGCCGGTGGCCTGGCACTGCAGAGGCTGCGGGCAGCCTCACAGCCCAGCACTCAACCGCTGCGCCACCAGGGGAGGCCCTTCCCGCGCTTCTGACTGTACCCAGTGCTTGCATAAATAAATAAATAAATAAATCTTTAAAAAAAAAAAAAAATCCTCTTCAATTTGACATGCCAAGGAAGAAAAACCTACTTTGGACAGGTTTAAATTAAGCTTCATTTCAGACTTCTTGTGAGAATTCTTTATGTCTGTAGTAATCCAAAAATGTGTTTAGTTGACTTTTATAAAAACGCATTCACGTAGTAGACAGAATTCTATTTAAGTACATGTCATTTTCTAATCGTAAGCAGAAAAATGTGAAATTAGTTGTGTTCAAGCAGAGACAAACGAACTTATGTAAATGTTCTGTATCTTTTCTCTCCTTGTTCTTTTTTTGTTAAATAGGATAAGTTCTGAACGTCGAAAAGAAAAATCTAGAGATGCAGCCAGATCTCGTCGAAGTAAAGAGTCTGAAGTTTTTTATGAGCTTGCTCATCAGTTGCCCCTTCCTCATAATGTGAGCTCTCATCTTGATAAGGCTTCTGTTATGAGGCTTACCATCAGCTATTTGCGTGTGAGGAAACTTTTGGATGCTGGTGAGTTGTTTTACAAGGACAAATAGTCCCGCAAATTAGAATTGAAATAATTAAAAATTATTTTTAGAAGGTGCTCATATTTCTTTAATATGATATACCTGTTTTTAAAACTTAAAATTAAACCAGGACTTTTTTAAGATACTGGCTTTTTTCCCACCTGCCTGCCTACCTATCTTTTTCCTATGATCCTTTCTCTTTTCAATGGTTTTCCTTGGTGCATTACTTTAATGAGAAGCAGGGAGAAACAGCTGGTAAATCTAATTTTAGTTTTGTTCTCTGGCCTTGACTGTTTCGTATTTTAAAAAGAGTAACAAGAAAATACACAGAAAAAATAGATACCGTGTATATTTAAGTGGAGAAAAAATTGTAAAAACATCTAAATACTAGTGTTCTTTAAGTATAATTCTTTAATTATTTTGCTTCTCTTGTGTTTTAAGGTGATTTGGATATTGAAGATGAAATGAAGGCACAGATGAATTGCTTTTATTTGAAAGCCTTAGATGGTTTTGTTATGGTTCTCACAGATGATGGTGACATGATTTACATTTCTGATAATGTGAACAAATACATGGGATTAACTCAGGTGAAATACCCACATACCCACACACAAAACTTTTCTGTATGCTTTTGTGATTTTTACAATATAGATGATGTAGATCTAATTTTTTAAAATGTGTTTACAGTTTGAACTAACTGGACACAGTGTGTTTGATTTTACTCATCCATGTGACCATGAGGAAATGAGAGAAATGCTTACACACAGAAATGGTAAGAAGAAAAATCTTTTGTTTAATTTAATGAGACAGATGGTTTTACTTAACCAGATATGGTTAGGAATTTAAAAATTTTGCTCTTGTTCTAATCTAAGCAATAATACCATTCCACATTTAATAAAATGTCACTCAGTACTTTGTTAAATCTTTTCATATTCTTTTTTTTAGACATTTCATAAAGTATCTGAAATTTTTTAAAGCCTACTTCATCCATAAATAATTATGCAAATAAAAAATAGAGGAAATAAAATGGAAAAATAAAAAGCAGCATCAAGGAAATTATAAATAAAAATACAGCTTAAAGGCAAGGGGAAGTCATAATACAAATGGCAGGTAGTAGGATTTTAGTTATTAAAGTTGAGGTGCCAGTTTGAGGTCAAGCTTTCTTAAGACCCAAGAAAAAGAAAAGTGAATGTTCACCAGCATTTAAAGATCATCTGCTTATTTGACTTCTCAGGATTTTCATGATCATCTGAGACTATTACAAAGTATTAGATAACAAAGTGTTAACATCATGGATGCCCCAATATTAGTAATAATAAAAATGACCTGATAAGACCTCTTACTCTCCAAAATGAATTGTTAAACATGATCAGATACTCTAAGATTTTGGAAGATTACCTCTTTAATTATAAAAACTTAACACTTAAAGTCTTTTCACTCCTTTACCTTCTTAAACAGGGTATATTGCTCATAATCTGACCTTCCATTCATGACTAAAAGTTACTACATTGAAAGCTTGTCATCTTGCTCTGCACTTGTTCTTTGCAGGTATCCAATTTAAGTGTCTAAATGTGTATGCTTACTGTATTAAACAGCCTCAGGTCTAGAGTATTTTTGGTTTTCTTTTATGATTTTCTTTATCTCATTTATAGTAATAATTTACCTCTATTGAGTGATCACTCTGTGCCAGGACAGAGGTCTAGACCTGCATTTTATGTGCTTTATTTCCTTTATTTCTCACAACTCTGTGAAGTTACTATTTCTATTTTACTGAGGAAAGGGAGGCACAGAGTTATTGAGTAACTTGCCCAAGAATAGTTGGTTAGTAAATTGCGTAGTGTGGGTTAAGCCCAGGTAGAAGACTAGGGACAGAGTCCACAATTGTTAACTCTTTTCATGTTCTTCAACTCTTACTACACTTAACTGCCATTTTCACCTTGTCAGTAATAACCTTTTCCTGTCTTTTAATTTCAAACTGGTATTTTTACTGTGAAAAAGCAAATGCTTACTTTTTAATGTATATGAGCAAAGGTCTGAATTGTCAGTGAGTTTAATGTGAATTCTAATATCTAGACTTGGAGGTTTATATTGTCTGTTCAGTGCTTTCCCTGGGCTAAACTATAAATGAATGGATGACCATTAGGAAATCTTGATTTGTAACAATGATACAATGATAATGCATTATATACTAACTCACATACAGTCTACTTAATACAGCTTAAATGTGTGTTTTTAGCCAAATGATTTTTTAAGCACATGAACATTTTTGAAATCATTCCTAATGCAGTTAATGATTTTTTTGATGTTTCATTGGGAAACAAAAGTGCATATATTCACTTTGAGACAAAATGAGCTGCTGCACATTCAAAAAAGATAAACACATGCAATTTGCAGCAACATGGATGGCGCTGGAAGGGATCATGCTCAGCAAAATAAGCCAGAAAGAAAAATAAAAATGCTGGATGGTCTCACTCATAGCAGGAATCTAGAAAACTTAAATAAGGGACCAGGAAAATGAATAACTATAAGAAAGTGAAAATCAAAATCAACAAAAAACTATGAACCAGAGACCCTCTATATGGGGTGGGGGGCGGGGAGGGGAGGGATTGGGGTCAAAATAAGGGGGTTGCAATTGTATGGGGGATATAAAAATAAAATTTATTTAAAAAAAATGAGCTGCTGCAATACATTGCATTTTGATACAGTGAGAGCCATTATGTATTTACACAATATATGATCATTTCATTTAAATTCTATAAAAAATGACTTAATAAGTATGTTCAATTATTATTAACTATGATTTTATTTTTTGGGACATAAAATTAAGTACTTTAAAAAATTTTTTTCATTAGGAAAATGTCAATACCCTTGGTTTTTAAATTTATTTTCATGTCTCAATTCAAAGACTTTGGGTTTCTGAAGTTCAGCTGAATTCAACCTTAGGTTATGAAGCACTGAAAATACTCCATAGTTTACATGTGGATTTCTGCTGCCACTATTATCCCCACACCTACCACTATGCCTACTACCACATGTATTCCTGTACTATCATCAAGAGCAGTATGGTTTTTGTGACATCTTTCAAAAATCCCTCCTCAAATGTTTCTAAGGAAGGCAAATTCATTTCATCCTTAAGTAAACCAAATAACTTGCATCAACACCAAAACTGCCCTCCAAATACCCTAGTTTCATTATTAAATAAGAGAATGAAGTAGAACTCATCTTCTTCCTCCTCACAGTACAGTATTTCTAGCTAAATTTGAACTTAATCACCTTTCTTTTCTACTTGAAACTAACTAGTTTTGTCATTGTACTAGCCTTAAAATCTCTAGCTGACTTAAAATTTTCTCCTCAGTTCCATCAATTTATGGATTCTCTTTGTCTTTTACCACCAGTCTTTCATTGCTGCTATTGCTCAGCCCCTCATTATCACCATTGTATTCTTATTCTAACATATGATATATATTTTCACTAGATTAAGGTCCATAAGTTTCTGATTATTTCCCAACTCAGATTTTTTAGAGTCTTCATGTTATATATGGGTGTACTGATTTCAGCATCCAAGGCCCTCATGGTCCTAACTTTTCCCTTCTAACTTTGTCTCATTGCTCTTCTGCAAGTACTTTATATTGCAGCCAAACCCGATTGTCTATTGTTCCCCCAACATGTGCTATTTTGCCTACCTCTGCTTTTCATGCTTTTCTCCTGCCAGGAATACCCTTCTAACTCATCTCTACTCATTGAAATTCTAATGTCTTTTTCTGGGAAGCATTTCTTGATTTTTCTCTTGATTAGACATTTTCTCCTAATCTGTATTTCTTTTAAGTGTTCTTGTAAGTCTTGCATACTCCTCTGCATTTGCATTGTCATTGGCCTTTCTATGTCTACTAATTTTTTTAACTTTATCAAGACAGAGAGTGTGACTTATTCATCTTTGTGTTGCCTATAATATGTAGTTCAGTTTCTGAGTAATGAATATTTTTGTATTTGTTTTGAATCATACTGATCAATGAAGATAAGAAATCAAGTTGCTATTTGCTTTGTCACTTGATGTAATCTAATTTTTTAGTTATTTAAGGTTGGAGTGGGTGAATAGAGGCTTGAATTTATTTACTCCTAACTTTGCTTTGTAAAGCAAATGTTTTGTTTTAATCCTAGTAACAAAATGGAACTAATTTCCTGCCTGCTTTGCAAGGCGATTTAAGGAAAGAACAGATATAAAAAAATATTACTTGCCATTGAAAAGAAATTTGCTCTCATAAAAGTATTATAAATACATGAAATGCTTACTATAAATTGAACTAACACAGTTAGTAAAGGTTCATAAGAGTTTGCAGAAGTTCTTTTTTTGGGAGGTGTGCTTGTACACTGATAGCACTTATGGCGCAAAGTTATACTAATTTATGTTTCTTTGCAATTTCACAAAGCCTTTTGTCTTGAATCAAAAATGACTGACTGTTGTCCCAAATATGGATTCTCTCCTGACAACTCAGGATCATTGCAGTCATGAACCCTTGTTCTTGATTGGAGTGTGTTGATCTCTTGGATGTGTTGGAGTGGGCAAAGAACTTGGGAATCACTGCGTTCATGCTGCTGAAACTTTTAATTGAATAGCATCTAGGTCCTGTGTGTCTCTTACTATAACAAACTTGAATATATAGTCATGTTTTTAAATTTTATTTCATGCTTTCATTAGGACCTGTGAAAAAGGGTAAAGAACAAAACACACAGAGAAGCTTTTTTCTCAGAATGAAATGTACCCTAACTAGCAGGGGGAGAACTATGAACATAAAGTCAGCAACATGGAAGGTAAGTAAAAATGATTCGTGAATGGTGATACATTTGCTTTATAGATATATTCATACATTTTAACATTGTGATGGAAAATTACAGTGGTTTTTGGCATTTGCAGAATTAAAATCCAAACTTTGAGACACAAACTAAAATGTGTAAATTAAACAGTGATGTATAGTTCCTGAGGGTAGTGTCCTAGGGAGAACTTTGATGATTTTCAAAAATATGGTTAATCTATAAATGGTTGTAAATTTTCTCAAAACTTACATGCCCGGGCCTCCCTGGTGGTGCAGGGGTTAAAGTCTCAGCACTACCAAGCTATCACCAGCCACTGTGGCCTGAGTTCGATCCCTAGCCGGGAGCTAACACACATGGTGCAGCAGACCTCTCCTGTCTTGCCCGTTGTTCTCTTAGCAGTGCATTTCAGCAGACCTGCCTGTTGTGCTCCCCGCTCTGTCTCTGGTGAATCCTCTCCCCTGCCATATCTCTGGCCTACACCCCAGTTCTTGTATACATAAATAAATAAAAATAAATCTTAAAAAAAAAACAAACAAACACTTACCACTTACATGCCAGACTCAACTACTTATCTACATCTTGCTTTCCCAGTTTGTATATTTTTTAAACTGCTTTGTTCCTACACAGGTTCTTCACTGCACAGGCCATATTCATGTGTACGACACCAACAGTAACCAGTCTCAGTGTGGATATAAGAAACCACCCATGACATGCCTGGTGCTGATTTGTGAACCCATTCCTCATCCGTCAAATATTGAAATTCCTTTAGATAGCAAGACTTTTCTCAGTCGTCACAGCCTGGACATGAAATTTTCTTATTGTGATGAAAGGTAAATTAGATATAAAATATGACTTAAAATTTTTAATAGGTCCATAGCATTTTCTGCTGTTCACTATAGTAAGAACTATATATGCTCTCTCCCACTAAATTCAGTTGACTCATACATCAGTAATATTAACTCTGTAGATTAATTTTGACATTGATTGAATACTTATGTATGAAGCATTTTTCCTTTGGGGGCTCTCATATACTTAAAAGAGAGAATAAATATAGCTCAAAGATGTACACTGCATAATTTGAGGAAGGATAGGTTACTTTTGGTTAAGGACTAGAAAGGAAGGAAAGTCTTTGTTCATCACCTTTCCCTGCATATTTTCCTTAAGTAGTTTCTATTACCATCTCCCAAATTTATATCTGTAACACTTTCTATATAATGGCTAATTTAATATTTTTATCTGGATAATCTTCTGTATCATAAACTAAGTATTTATGTAACTAAACTATACCATTATTGGTCCAAAATGACAACTTAAAAACTGCTTTTCTTCTTGTAATATCTATCATGCTTAATACATTACTATTAACATGATTCCAGCAAAAACTTGCCTTCACTTGTCTTTTACCCACATTAGCTACACTCCATTGATCTAAAAATTTTACAGATTTGCTATCTACATACAGATTTTGATCCTTTCCATCCTGTACTCCTGCCACTCAGCTCATTATTACCTTTGGCTTGAACTGTTGCCAATATCTTAAACTGCATCTTCCAGATTTGAGCCATTTCAATCTCTCATCCAGCTTTCCAAAAAGTGGATTTTCTGACGTGAAAATCAGATCATGTCATTCTCCTATTGAAAATGACTCCATTGATTCCCCTCATTTGCATGTACAATGAAACTTGTTCTGTTTATAAAGATATTAGAGGAAGGTGGGATATTTTTACTAACCAAAAGAATGTGCACTTTGATAGAATAAAAGAAAAATAGGTGTATGCAATAAAATCTAAATCTCTTAGCATGGCAAACGAAGATATTTGTGATGTAGACCCTGCACATTTCCCCAAATTAATTAGAAGCAGGGGACCCCTTTTAATGTGGTTCCTAACACCTATAGCCAGAGAGTTCCACGTGTTTATTGCCTTCGTTCCTTTCCACTCTGTGTATGTTTCCACTCTGCATTGACCTTTCCTTCACCTCCTAACACATACTTTTAAGAACCACCTACCTTATCTGCTCCTTTGTGGAACTTTCCCTGTTAAAGAAACTATACTATTCCTGAGCCTCCCCGGTGGCACAGCGGGTTGAGCGCAGCGCTATGAAGCTGTCTGCAGCCTCTGCAGCACCAGTTCTATTCCCAGCTGGCCAGGGAGATACCCACATGGCACAGCAGACCTCTCCTGTCTTGCCTGGTACTCCTCTCAGCAATGTTTTTGGTCCTTCTGCCTGTTCTTCTCCCTGCTCTGTCTCTGGTGAATTCTCTCGTCCTCCCGCGGCTCCGGCCTGTACCCCAGTTCTTGTATAAATAAATAAAACTTGAAAAAAAGAAAAAAAAACTACACTATTCCTTATACATACCTATGGTCATAGCACTTATGCTACTATTATAATTGCTTGCTTGTTCCCCCCTCCCTTTTTTTTTTTTTGCCTCAAGGCTATGTAATAATGGCTAAGGGCATAGATTCTATACCTGATTACCAAATCCTGACTTAGTTGCCTATATCCAGCTATAGCTGGATATGATCTTTGATACATTAGTTTGTTGTATGCATCAGTTTCTTCATCTTTAATAACAACTTGAAGATTATATGGGGAAACCAATTTTAAGCACTAGCCATAATACAGTAGATAAGAATTTGCCACCCTATCAGACAAGAAAATATGACAGAACACTGGCCTTGGATTCACACATAATCCTGACTTGCAGTTCTGGCTCTTGCACTGTGGCCTTAGCCTCAGAATTTAACTGTTCTAAATCTCATGTTCCTTATCTGTAAAATAAGGGTCAGAAGACTACAACAAGAATTAAAGGAGTTTGTTGAATGTCTAGTGCACATGGTGAGTACTTTATCACTGGTGTCAGCTTTCAGAAAAATGAAGATAGGAAAGCTAAGAAGTATTTCTTGTCCTATTCATACGAATGTATTACAGAACAGGGTTACCCATTCTTTTTTAAGGAATTTTTTAATTTTTGAGATAAAGTATAGGAGTAGGCTGGATTAAAGTGATGGAGCTAGAATGAGAAAAAGAGAAAAGTGATCTTTTTCTTTTGGATTATATGAAAAAATTAACAAAATGACCATGACAGAAGTACAAAGCCAGCTTTAGCGATCAACTAAAGGTTTTGAATTTGACCAGATTTGTTTTCTGGTTAGAACCCTTTGTAGGACCTTCTCAGTCTGTAACCCCTAAGAGCCAAGATACAGAAAAATTTTTGCCCAGTTTTAAGAAAATCTTATAACATACAGAATATCTTAAAAACTACTATTATTTATTATACTGATTTCCACTTAGTAGTTATTCAGTACATTTGAGTTTCTTCTATATTTGTGGTATGGTAACTGACACTAAAGTAGGAATAAAGGTAAGTACTTCCTGCCCTCAGAGACACAGTAAAGTAATGGTGGGCTGCATAGTTGTTTTAGATCATATATTTCCTTATCTGTTAAAAACACTTTTTGATCAGATTTTCTGGATCACTCCTTTTTTTTGGGTACAGAATATAAACTATGTGATTCTCTAAGTTAACTTTATCTTCTTCAAATATGAGTAAATATGATCTTCCAGGAAAACATAGTTTATAGTTTGATGTCTTGCATCTGATATTGGTAGACATACCACAGCTCAAATTAAGAAGCATTGACTGAGGGGCTTCCTCTGGTGGCGCAGCGGTTGAGCGCTGGGCTGGGAAGCTACCCGCAGCCTCTGCAGCACCGGTTCGATCCCCAGCCGCTGGGCGAGGGTCCCACATGGTGTGACAGACCTCTCCTGCCGCGTCCGCTGCTCCCCTGAGCAGTGTATTTCGTCAGCCTGCCTGTTCTGTTCCCCGCTCTGGCTCTGGTGAATTCTCTCACCCTCACGTGCTTCTGACTGTACCCGATGCTTGTATAAATAAAGAAATCTTTAAAAGAAAAAAGCATTGACTGAGATCAAATCTTTATGATATACAAAACCCTCATTAACCTGGTCCTCCTGCCTACTTCTTTAGCTTCATTTCATTTGCTCCCACTGACCACAACAGACTATTTGTTGCTGTACAGTGTTGAACTTTTTATCATCTCTTGTCTTTGCTTGTAACATACCTTCTTTGTGAAATGGTTTTGCTCTCTCTTTACTTTCTCCTGTACTCAACTTCTAAGTCTCCTATAAGAAGCTATCCTTTATCCTGTCATTCTTCATGGATACAGTGTGTTTCCTCTGATTTCTGCAGTAGATTCTCATCACTGCTTGTAACCACATTCTTTCATAAGTAATGTGATGTTGACCAGATTAGCCATATGTTGAGTTTTGTCTTTGCATTTTCACTCCTAGAACAAAAATAGGCATACATAAGCATATGAAAATTTAAATAATGACAAAAAATTAATTCTGAGGGGCTTTTGTAAAACCAATTAACTATCTTTAAAAAGAAGTACTGGTTTTTAACGTTTCCTTTGTAATACTGCCACCTAGTGTTGGTGTGTTTAGGGATAGCTCTAATATTCTGGATTTGGGCTTGGCTTGGTTTAGTTTTTGGTCTTTTACAAATACAAAGGTTTATATTTATTTTGGAATACAACACAAATAGTGTTGCTTCTATACATTTCTAGGGAAAGCAAATCTTTCCCATGTACTTCCTGTATAGAGTTAGTTGTAGTTTTTTGGAGCGTGATGGGGTGGGGTGTATATTACATAACTTTGCTCATAATCTCAGTTATAAAGTGCTTTGAAATTTAAGACTGAGAAATAAAAGCTTAACTCATGTTTTGCTTCCCACAAAGAAAGAGAATATTTCTTTTAGTATCGTACTAAGAAGATAGCTTTCTCTTCCTCGTGAAATGGGATCCATTTCAGACTATGTTACAGAGAATAAGATATGGTGTCTGTCCTAAAGGAACTTCCGGGTAATAGATGGGGTAACTGGATTACTTTCCAGTTCAGCTATTTGGAAACATTGTTTCATTGCACATGAACTCCTATGATTTTATATAATTTCAGAAACTTAAGTACAATAGCATCTTCTAAAACCAACATAAGAATTATTTCTTTAGTTTCTGTTTAGTGTGAATACTCTTTGGTTGATGATTCTAAAATTTTTTTTAGATATTGATTCCCCCAAAATGAAGCCTTGCCTAAGGGCACCATTATATAAAGAATTGATTTTATGATGAAAGTAATCTTAGGAATTTAATCTATATTTTAAGTTAATTACTAATGATTACTTTTATAACTTAATTTAGTATTTCTTCTCCTCTGTTTATATCCTGTCTTGTTACCAAAAGTGTATACAGTAAGGTATTGTAAGAACAGGTAAAAAATTGGTTGAAGGGGATCAAAGGGTCAGAAAAGTGGGATGAACCCAGAGACTTAAAGATACACATGGCACTGCATTTAGTAGCTAGAAATACTTAAAGGTGGTGAGATATAAGTTCACTGTACATGAAAAAGGCATTCTTTATTTTTGAACATTCACTTGTCTATAAAAAAATACATATCAATTACTCTGTAGAAGCAGAATTTTTCATTAGTCTCTTTCTTTCATGTTTTACCTATCAGAATTACTGAATTGATGGGATATGAGCCGGAAGAACTGTTGGGCCGCTCAATTTATGAATATTATCATGCTTTGGACTCTGATCACCTGACCAAAACTCATCATGATAGTAAGTACAATGAAAGAACTCATACATAGTCTAATTATTTAACTCTTGCCATCTCTTTACTATTTGGTTGTACATCTGACTTTTTGGTAATAGTTAACTAGTATTCCTAGATTTAAATTTATCTTAATAGAACTTTTCATATGGAATCTTGATCATTAAATCTGTATTTTGTATTTGTTACAACCAATACCACTAAAATAGAATTGTTTAATAATACATGAAGCTTTATTGGCATTTTAAATACAAAGACTCAAAAAATCATAGACTATAATAACATTTCAGAATTCAAACCTAAGCAATGAAAACAGTGGTTGGCAATACAAAACACAATTGGTTGGTAGATAGAAGGCACTCTGAAAATAATTGCTCTGTGGACATGAAGGGGATCAATCCTCATGTACTAGTGGTAACAGGTACCTTTAACCTAAAATATAATTCTGAATTTTAACAAATCAATGTTACTTAAGTGTCCCATGGTAAGTAAAGCTTTGTAATTTCTTATTTGCCTGTTATATCTGTACCTAAACATAACTTCCTAATGCGAATGGGGACAGAGTGATTTGCTTTGAACTGCAGTGGTGGCCCAAGTCTGTATTTCGGGCCCTAGAACTCATGACAATATTACTATTGATATTTATGCAGTACCTTCTCCCAAATAAATAACTTAGATTGCCTAAATTGCCAGAAATCTTATTTAGAATATAGTCAAAACTCACATATTCTAGCACGGATATTTGAAGCATCTTTGGCTCTTTGGAAACTAGTAGGAATTTAAAGGAGTGATAACAGTACCACTTTCTTGAATGTTCTCTTTACAATCAAGATTATTGTTTAGTTTTTCTGATACTTTCAACTATAAAAAGGAATTTTTGTTACTGTTTCCCTCACTCCTTACCTTCATTTTATTTAAAGTCAAAATTAGCAGGAAAGGTGTTTATTTTGGGGGGAGGGGGTTAGAAGAATGAAATGGTTATATTTTCAGTTATGCTGGGGCTTTTTCCCTCATTTAAACAGTTAACAACTGATTCCATTAAAATCAGCATTTCTTCCCTTTTCTAAAACAATGATTAATATTTAATATCCATTCATTTGAAAATTCAGTTATTTTCTCTGCATGACTTTTCCTTTTCATTCCTAGTGTTTACTAAAGGACAAGTCACCACAGGGCAGTACAGGATGCTTGCCAAGAGAGGTGGATATGTCTGGGTTGAAACTCAAGCAACGGTCATATATAACAATAAGAACTCTCAACCACAGTGTATTGTATGTGTAAATTATGTTGTGAGGTAAGCTTTGGGAAAAATATATTTTGGGGAAGCAGTAATAACATTTTTTGTATACTTTTGCTTTTTTATAGGAAGAGAAAATTATAAACATTAGCTAAATAGTGTTTTAGTTTCACATTTCTTTAGAATTATGTTTTTCAGTTTTCTGACCTGGATTTTCAAGCCACATATTGCACTGTCCAATAACTACTGTCAATAGCTGTGTATCCCATCTTTTACAACCCCATCTTTAAAAAAAAGATCTTAAAAAAATACCAAATCTCATGGACTAGTTTGTTCCAGTCTTACTTAAACATAATTATCTCAGTTGCAGGTAGAATATTGGCCTTGGGATGGATTTATTAGCTCTGTCACTCATCTGCTCCCTGGCCTTGGGGAAGTCTTCTCATTTCTCTGAATTTCATGTGTACAGCAGAGATGACTAATACTTCAAATGGTTATATAGATAATATGCAGCTTAAAATTGTTACAGTAATGATTCCATGAAATTCTTTGTGAGATTACTATAAAAGGCTATAATGTGACATATGTCTCATATATTAACTCTTCTCTTAGTTGATTGGTTTGTGAATATTAATCTGTCATTGTAATGTATTTCATTGGACTCCTGCCCTCTTCTAGTCCATTTTCTACCATTTTAAATTTTCTTGCATACATATCTGATTAATTTTCTTTAAAATTGTTTCAAAGACGCCTTTATTATCCACTTTAAATCCTACTTGCATAGCTTCGCTTCTTACCATCACTTTCCTTACTCCCATGTTTTCATAGTTTTGGCCTTTATTCTAAAATCTGTGGTCACCCTTTTTAAGGAAAACTTTGGTCATTTTTTTTTTTTTCCCACTTCTGTCACCATTTTGTGACTTTGCCATGATATAAGAATCACCAACTTGCAATATCCTTCCCCCCCACACCAATATGCCTAGGAAATCCTATTTGAACCTAAATTTCATTTGTTGAGCTCTCTGTGAAGAAAACCTGATTTAGCATTTATCAGTTTTTAAAAAATTATTTGCGTGTCTGCTTTCACATGGGTTAAAACTTCTTGAGGGCATGGGTTAGGTATTCTAATCATTGTGTTCTCAGTTCATTTCACATAGTAGACACTTAGTATACATTTGTTGATTAAAGGAAATTTATATTTATGCCAAACATGAAGCTGAAATTATTGTTCATAAATCTTCTTCAGCTTTACCCTATAGGTAATGCCACCATATTATTTTCCTACCATAAAAGAAAATATGGCAGTCTTTTTAGAAATACCTTGGTCATTTATGTATATCTATATTCTAGGACCATCCTTAGGTCATGCCTCATATATTAGTGCCAAGAGTTATTCTGTGCCAAACTTATGATATGTAAGTGAACACAAAAATTGTGAAGCTCTTGTTTATGTCCTTCAGGTATCTGACTGTTACATTTCTTTGTCACCAGTACTTTGTGCGAAGGGATAGCTGAAGGTTCTTAATTGAAATTAATCCAAATATTTGAATTATCTTTTATCATAGACTTTATAATGTCTTTACGTCAAGAAATCTTAAAATGTTCCTTTTGAAAAAGCAGAAATTTTTTGAGAGATAAAGGCATTCCATAGTCCCCCTCCCCTCTCCCCTGTGAAGTACTCATTTAAGAATTGCTAATCTCTCTTTTTTGACAGTGGTATTATTCAGCACGACTTGATTTTCTCCCTTCAACAAACAGAATGTATCCTCAAACCAGTTGAATCTTCAGATATGAAAATGACTCAGATATTCACCAAAGTTGGATCAGAAGATACAAGTAGCCTCTTTGATAAACTTAAGAAGGAACCTGATGCTTTAACTTTACTGGCCCCAGCTGCTGGAGACACAATCATATCTTTAGATTTTGGCAGTAATGGTGAATATTTATTTTGTTAATTGCCTAAACTATGTCTATTGCTATCAGCTTACTGTAAGCTGAACTTTTTATACCATATTTTGTTGGAAGTCATTTGATGTTGTTGCCTTATATATTTTGTTTTTCATCATCATCTTAAAAATAATTGCTTAAATATTTTCACCCCTATAATTTCTCAACATTTCTACTTTTGTCACATTGTTAGAAATTTTGCTTCAAAATACCCTTAAGGTATTTCTTCTTTCCACTTTAATTTTTCTCAGCTCTGCTATTTGTATGTCCTGTCATATTTTCTCCATAGTTTCAGTTAAATTGTAATAAAGGAGAAATAAACAGCCACACTATGATACCAAACATTGAAAATAAAAACTAGTTTTTAACTAGGCTAAATTTTAAGAATAAATGATCTGAAAAGGCTGGATTTTCAGGGTTTTGTGCTGTATAAAGTAATAGGAACTGTTAGTAGTGGGCTGAAACAATAACTCAGATTTAATGGTTATATCATATCTGTACTTTTTCCGCATTAAGAAAAATTTGGTGCCGTTTTTGTTGTTTGCATGAAGTAAACAAACCTTTTGTAAAGGGGGATATAAAGATCTAGATAATCTTTTAATTGGCTTTTTTCCCACCTATAGACACAGAAACTGATGACCAACAACTTGAGGAAGTACCATTGTATAATGATGTAATGCTTCCCTCATCCAATGAAAAATTACAGAATATAAATTTGGCAATGTCTCCCTTACCTGCTTCTGAATCTCCAAAGCCACTTCGAAGTAGTGCTGACCCTGCACTCAATCAGGAAGTCGCGTTGAAATTAGAACCAAATCCAGAGTCGCTGGAACTTTCTTTTACCATGCCTCAGATTCAGGATCAGCCAGCCAGTCCTTCTGATGGAAGCACTAGGCAAAGTTCACCTGAGGTAGGTATCAAGATATAATTAAAAAAACTGATAACTTCTAGAGTTTAATATTCAGAAATGTATTTGTAAATTTGACTCAAACTTTAATTTGAACCACATGTCATGATTTAAAATTATTTAAAAAGTTTTTTATGAGCCTAACTTAGACCACAGCGCATGTTTTATGCTCAAAGGCTAGAATATGGAAAGGAACTGGCTTAACATAAAGCAAAAAGTAAAACTTGTTGTTCCTTTATGTATCAGTTGTTTCCCTCAGTAAACAATACTATATGTGCCTAAAATAGCTCTCACCATTTGAATTGTATAATTGTTCAGTGGCAAAAAGCCAGACAAGTTTTACATGGGAAGGGGCCTTTTTAATTCTTTGCCCACTTTTAGTTCAGTTTCTATCACTGTTTTGAAATTGTAGGAAAATGTAACATGAAATTACAAGTTTAATACAGAGTAATAACTTCTTAAAATTCTAGTTCTATCTTGCTATCAGTTGTCTTGCAAACAAAGTCTATAAAAAGCTAGGCTGGACCAAGATGAAAAGTACCATCATGCAGGTCTCTTAAAAATCTAGAATGATGCGGGGCAGACCTCGCTTGCCTCGCCCGCTGGTCCCCTCACCAGTGTCTTCGGTCCATCTACCTGTTCTCCCTGCTCTGTCTCTGGTGAATTCTCTCACCCTCCGGCACCTCTGACTGTACCCCAGTTCTTGTATAAATAAATAAATCTTAAAAAAAAAATCTAGAATGATTAAATTGCATACCTTCCTGACACAAAATGTTTGATGCATTTTGTTTTTGTTTTTGTTTTTTTAAATATTTATTTATTTTTATTTTATACAAGCATTGGGTACAGTCAGGGAGGGTGAGAGAATTCACCAGAGTCAGAGCGGAGAGTAGAGCAGGCAGACTGACGAAGTACACTGCTGAGGGGAGCAGTGGGCGGCAGGAGGTCTGCGCGCCATGTGGGACCCTCCTCCGGTGGCCGGGGAGCAGCTGGGGATCGAACCGGCACTGCAGAGGCTGTGGGCAGCTTCACAACCCAGCACTCAACCGCTGCGCCACCGGGGAGACCCTGCATTTTGTTTTTTAAACTAAGAAAAGTAAATCTAGCAAAAAGATTAACATGAGAGCAGAAGTTTATGCTTAGAATACCTAACTATAGTAATTTTTATTAGAATTCTTTTTACTTTTTTTAACATTTATTTATTTACACATATAAGAACTGGGTGTAGGCCAGAGGTGTCGGGGGTGAGAGGATTAACCAGACAGTTGGGAGCAGAACAGGCAGAAATACTGAAATACACTACTGAGGAGAGCAGCAGGCGAGACAGGAGAGGTCCGCTGCACCATGTGGGTTGGCTCCCTATTGGGGATGAAACTCATGTGGCAGTGGCTGCAAGATAGCTTGATAGCGCTGAGATTTTAACCCCTGTGTCACCAGGGAGACCCCTTTTATTAGGATTCTTGTTCAGAACTCCTAAAATAGTAATACATTCAGTAAGGTGAATGCAAGTAAACTAACTGCAGTCTTTACCTTTACCCTCCAGAACAGCTGTGAGACTTTTTTGGTAGATCAGGAGTGTGTCCTGTCAGTACAAAGGTATATTCCATTATATATGTGGTCTATTTAGTAGACCAATGAAGTACCATGTGAGAGTTGAATTATTTGGTAAGTTTTATTCTTTAGAATAAGCAGATGAGGACATCTTTTAATTTTACAAATGATGTTATATATAGTCAGAAATATATACACTGACAAAATTATTTACAGGTGTAAGCTCAAAATAACTATCTAGAACAAATGGACTTTGTTATGTATTCCCTAAGATCTGGCTTGATAATTCTAACAACTAGTAAAACATATGGAAGCTTTTTTAGGTAAAAGTAAACACATTTCATTCCTTTCATAGCCTACCAGTCCCAATGAATATTCTTTTGATGTGGATAGTGATATGGTCAATGAATTCAAGTTGGAATTAGTAGAGAAACTTTTTGCTGAAGACACAGAAGCAAAGAATCCATTTTCCACTCAGGTATATGAACTTGTTTATTATATTTTGTATTTAATTGTTAGACAAAGTTTTTAGGTTTTAGGTTTTAGTTTTAGGTTTTACTTGTTTTTCTTTTATAAAGTATGGCCACTATAAAAACTCATATATTTGTTGTTTTAAAGGATACTGATTTAGACTTGGAGATGTTAGCCCCCTATATCCCAATGGATGATGATTTCCAGTTGCGTTCCTTCGATCAGTTGTCACCATTGGAAAGCAGTTCTACAAGTCCTCAGAATTCAAGCACAATTCCAGTATTCCAGCCTTCCCAAATCCAAGAGCCTACTATTACTATTACCACTGCCACCGCTGATGAATTAAAAACATTGACAAAAGATGGTATGGAAGACATTAAAATATTGATTGCATCTCCATCGTCTACCCACGTTTCTAAAGAAACTACTAATGCCACATCACCATATAGTGAAACTCGAAGTCGATCCACCTCACCAGACAGAGCAGGAAAAGGAGTCATAGAACAGACAGAAAAATCTCATCCAAGAAGCCCTAATGTGTTATCTGTCACTTTGAGTCAAAGGTATTTATGTGTAACACTTCAAGTTATAGTTTTTATTGTTGAAAAATGTGTGTGATGAGAAATTATAGCAGACTTTCTGATATAAATATAATTTATGAAATGAAATTGACATAAATTCTGAACTTAAAGCAGGCACTCCAGAAATTGTTTGTAGATTAGCTTGTATATTTTTTCCAAAATAATCATTACCACTATCTAATAATCATTACCACTATCTAATCATTACCCTCTGTAGGAGGCAGAGGGCCTTTATAATGCTTTGAAAAATAAAATACCACCAGTAAGTTCGTTTTTGTATAAGAATCACCCCAGTTTGCAGTTGTTTAAATCAGACTAGTTAACTCACTTTTTACATCTCTTGGAGATCTCTTCCCAATTTAAGGGCTTTCCCAATTTTCCTTACATTGAGCTTCAATCTTCAATCCTTAATATTCAATACATACGTAGACGCTTTCTTTTTAAATTTTATGTGGTTACTTGTGTTACAGTTGCCTTTATTTTTCATTACATTTTTATAGAACATAAGCTATATTCTTAGTTAACTAGGATAAGAACTACTATAGGAATCGAAGCACAATTTACAACACTGCTGCTGAATTCATTGGAACAGACATCTGACCACCCAATTTTTAGGTCGTAATCTGTAATGGCATTTGGCATTTTAAATCTAAGGCTAAAATTAGAGATAAACACATTTTAGGTGGTCAGTGTAGCTGTGTGTGGAGAAGAGGAGTGATGCCTTCTCTACTGTTGGTGACTATACTAAGCCCAGATATCCTTATCAACTGGAAACAGCATTGCCATAGCCAAAGTTTATGACTTTGTTTCTCCTGCCCTGCATTACTACTTTGACCTCGAGTTCTGGGAAAGGCCTTTTTACAGAGCTAAGAAAATAACTTTATGCTTTAGATTAACAAAGATGTGCTTTATATTACTTTTAAATTTACTATGTCACCAACTGACTTTAGACTCTGAGTTCCTAGGGCAATGACATGTCTTGGATATTTTAACTCAGTATCTAACATGTAGTACTTGCTCAATAAGTGGTAACTAGATGGACAGATGAATTAATATAGTAATAAAAATAGCAATAACCTGTAATTTATAGTTTACTATTAGCTATAGAAGACCGTGGGATATAAAGCTTTTTGAACAGCTGTCCCCTTGTATGTGTCAAAACAAAAATCTAATAATCACAGTAGCAATTTCTTTTCATTAGTTCTAAAAATCAATAGCATTCACTGGACACTTTAAAGGATGAACTTAACTTTCTGGAAATTTATGTAGACTTTTTGCCCCCCTACTTCCCTAGGTAATGATTTATAAAATCAAAGTGCGATACTAAACCAGAAGATTTACCTATAGCTTTAAAGCAAAGATAAACCATTAAAAGTTTGCTAATAAGATAGTATTTATATACTAGACTGAGTTATACTTTATAAAGGTAATATATTTGTGTAAGAGTTTAAAACCTATCTATATATTAGAGGTCTATAGAATTTTTAATATAAAACAAAACTAAATGTAGAACAGTTTAAAAGTAATATATGGCATTCTAACTATATTAAATAGAGCATATATCAACTGTGATTATGGTACTTGAAAGATAATGTAGATATAACAAAATTAGTGTACTTGACTCATGAAACAGTTGCTTACTATTTAATATTAATTTTAGATGCAGGATAGATTGAGTTTCATAGCCATGTCAATATTGATGGTAAAATGGGAAGGTCACTGAGAGAGTATCTTCCCTGTCTGCAACAGTTAGTAGAACTTTGAACAGGTTACCCAACAGGTTTCAACTGGAGGTTAAAATTAACTAATGAAATGTCTTACAAACTGAAAATGCTATATAAATATCAAATGAATTTTGTATTGCAGTAGTCCCAAGAACATCTGTATGTTACTGCTTTAAGTAGAATGAAAGATCAATATTTATCTGGTTTTGACCTATACAAATGTCAGTTCTATTTTATGAAACTGGGAAATTTTCTGTTTTAAAAATTGACCTTTGGCTTTTAAGGTGATGCAGCTTAGGAAAGTTCTCTTATGTATATTATATTCCGTAATGTTAGAAAACAGGCATTGTTTTAAAATACTAGTTTTAAGAACTAGCTATTTTTTTTTAAATAATAATGACTATATTTTTATTGAACATTTTTTTTTAGAACTACCGTTGCTGAGGAAGAACTAAATCCAAAGATACTAGCTTTGCAAAATGCTCAGAGAAAACGAAAAATAGAACATGATGGTTCACTTTTTCAAGCAGTAGGAATTGTAAGTTTGAGAGTATGTTTACTTTTCAATCTAGTTAATGTGCTATATTTCTGTATGTGTGTATACATTTTATATATGTATACACACAAACACAAACAAAATTCCTTGCTTCCATTCAATTACTAAAGTTAGATTTTCAGGTTACATGTTGGGTTTTTAATTTGTACATACTATTTATTATAAATACATATATTTAATATATAAAAATCTAAATAATACAGAGTAAAAAGTGAAGTTCTTCCCTTAATACACTCCTAGTATTGTCACTAGTCTTATTTCTCTTTTAATTTCCCTTATTAACATAAGTACGTGTTTTGGGGGATAAGTCAGGGCTGTTATAATTCATTCTGATATTTTCAGACCAGATTAATTGGAAAGCATTTATAGATACATTAGTCATGAATGTTAACTAACTTGATCATAAGAGAATGAATTTAACAGAGAGTAGTATTTTACTTAAGAAAACTGTTTACTTATTATTACTACACTTATTTTAATTTTTAATCTAAGAAAATTCACCATAGTAAATTGAAATAACTTTATCTGTTTTTAGGGAACATTATTACAGCAGTCAGACGATCGTGCAACTACTACATCACTCTCTTGGAAACGCGTTAAAGGATGCAAATCTAGTGAACAGAGTGGAGTGGAGCAAAAGACAATTATTTTAATACCCTCCGGTTAGTTTATTCTTTTATTTCCTTGAATACCACAGAGACAGCTGAAATATAGCAAACCTTTTTATTTAGGAGCTTTACTCCAAATGAAAGAGTGATTCTAGCTAGGTTAGGAATCTCTTTCATCTAATAGGTGTAACAGAGGGATAGTGTTTCAAGATAGAATTTATATTTTTAGTAATTATCTTTGCTGTATCTATGGCTGTGTGCTACCTATCTTGAATAGAGGCTGAAATTGGTAAATTTTTATGCCTTTTTCCAAATTTTTCACTGAGTTTGCCTTTACTATATCCTATAAACACTTCTGACTTAGCAATAGTAGCACTTAAACTGCATTTATTTATTCACATAGCTGTGGTTTTGCATATAGCTGTAAACCGTTCCAGAGTTTGCCTTATTTTCCCTAATACCTTGCACATAGTGGGTATTTAATATTTATCGCCTAGAAGAATGAATACTTGGCATCTCTTTGTTTTTCAGATTTAGCATGTAGACTGCTGGGGCAATCAATGGATGAGAGTGGATTACCACAGCTGACCAGTTATGATTGTGAAGTTAATGCTCCTGTACAAGGCAGCAGAAACCTACTGCAGGGTGAAGAATTACTCAGAGCTTTGGATCAAGTTAACTGAGCTTTTTCATAATCTCATTCCTTATTTTGGACACTGGTGGCTCATTACCTAAAGCAGTCTATTTATATTTTCTATATCTAATTTTAGAAGCCTGGCTACAATACTGCACAAACTTGGTTAGTTCAACTTTGATCCCCTTTGTACTTAATTTACATTAGTGCTCTTTTTAAGTATGTTCTTTAATGCCAGATCACAGACACCACATTTTCACAGTTCTTTGGTATTTAAACCATCGCAATGCAATAGCTTCATTTTAAAAATGCACCTTTTATTTATTTATTTTGGGCTAGGGAGTTTTTCCATTATTGGATTATTTTTAATAAAATGCCAATATAATTTTTTAAAGAAGGCAGTAACCTTTCATCATGATCAGTTTGAAAAATTTTTACTCAGTTTTTCACATTTTACATAAATAATGATTTGCCAGCAGTACATGGTAGCCACAATTGCACAATATATTTTCTTAAAAAATACCAGCAGTTACTCATGCAATATATTCTGCATTTATAAAACTAGTTTTTAAGAAGAAATTTTTTTTGGCGTATGAAATTGTTAAACCTGGAACATGACATTGTTAATCATATAATAATGATTCTTATATGCTTGTATGGTTTATTATTTAAATGGGTAAAGCCATTTACATTGATATAGAAAGATATATCTGGAAGGTATGTGGCATTTATTTGGATAAAATTCTCAATTCAGAGAAACAATCTGATGTTCTGTAGTCACTTTGCCAGCTCAAAAAAAAAAAAAAAACCCTATTTGTAGTTGTGGAAGTTATGCTAATATTGTGTAATTGATATTAAACCTAAATGTTCTGCCCACCCTGTTGGTATAAAATGTTTTGAGCAGATTCTGAACATGAAAAAAAAATCATGCTTTGTTAGCAGAATTGCCTAGTACGTTAATTTGCTCAAAATTTGATTGTTTGGTTTTATGCACTTTGTCGCTATTAACATCCTTATGTTTTCATATAGATTTCAATAATTGAGTAATTTTAGAAGCATTATTTTAGAAATATATAGTTGTCACAGTAAACATCTTGTTTTTCTATGTGCATTGTACAAATTTTTCATTCCTTTTGCTTTTTGTGGTTGGATCTAACACTAAACTGTATTGTTTTGTTATATCAAATAAACATCTTCTGTGGACCAGGTCCCCTTTGATCAGCTTAAAATATTTGCTTCAATACCTTATCTCATAAAATCATTGACAATTTACATATTTTATCTAATTGCCACCACCTAAATATATGTGAATGTGTCCCTAAATGTAATATGTAGTGACAAAAAAACCATGTCCTACTATAAAAAAGTATGCTTTTAGAAAGGAAACTTGTCATTTATAAATTTTTGAGCCTTTTTGGTAAAACAAAATCTTAAAATTTAATATGAATGGGATGAATGAAGTAAATCCTGAACATTATAATTATCTTATAAGGACTAGAAATCCCTCTAAAGATTTTAGTTTTTCCCATTCATAGATGAAGAAATTTAAAGACTTTACATAATATACCCTAAAGGCAGTAATATCTTTGTTTTAATAATAATGTATATTTAAAATTTTTATTCATGTTGTCTTTTTGAATGAAATAGCTGTACTTTTAATCAAAAATAATACTTAGCTATTTTTTTTTAAATCAGCACATGATGAAAAAAGATGAAAAATAAAAAACTCACTATGAATCCATATACTTAGAGATAGCAGCAGATAATTTTTATGGACAATTACATAGATAGTACCAGAGTCTTAGATGTAACAGCCTAAGGTTATGGCAACAAAATTTTCTGAACAAAAGGAACCAAGCCACAGATCTTAGGTGGTTGTTTTTATCTTAGAATGAAGAGGTTTTTATTATGAGTATACAAAAATTTGCTAACAAATTTTTTTCAGTTCTATACTCAGTCTAAGATATTGGGGGCACGTGTACAGTGCAAATACTAAGACCAAAATGCTTTTGCATTTAATTACATTTAATTGCATTTAATTAAAGATAGTCCTAGAGGTGGTGTTTTAGAATAATGGTTATTATTCCAAAGTCGAAATGTTAAAATTTCTGCTCATTTTGATTAGCAAACTGGCTTTTAGAAAACTTGTTTATAGTTTTCAAATACTAGTAAATGGTCAGATTATGTAATGAGCAGGAGTCTAGGAATATGATCTGTGCGCAAAATGATTTAAAGAGGAAAGCTGCTTTAGTCTTGAGAGCTGGAAGAAAACCAGCACCTACCTCTTGGCCATTCAGAAAACAAAATCCCCTGGAGCTTTGAAGCTGTTCAAAATAGCACCACCAGCTCTTCCCAGTGTTGTGCCCTTTCTTAATGCTTTTTTCCAAGAAATGTAATCCTTATTAGCTTTTCTTCCCTTTGCATGCATATACTTTCCCATTCTTTAGTGCTGCTGAATAATGACCACAGTTATTATTTTCACATCTGAAGAAAGTACTGAAACTTAGTGCATTTTGTTCTTTTTTTCCTTAAACCTTACTATTAACTTTGGAGCTACAAATAGTTCCCCTGAGAAGCTACCACTAGGTACAATGACCCTTCGATTAGGAGTTAAGTTAGGAGTTAAGATAAACTTAACATCTATCAAGTACTACTGTATGCTAGTCTTTTGGGCCCAACATTTGCATGTATCTCATAACATTAAAAAAAAAATCCCTATGAATTAATTAGTACCTTTATCTCATTATTTTGTAGATGAGAAAACTTTCTAGAGAGTTGGCCTAAGGTTCAGTTTTGAACTGGCCATTGGTAGCTCCATAATCTTGGTGCTAACTACCCTGCCTTGCTGCCAATTTCACAGGGCTTAACCCCTGTCCCCAGAGTTAACTGTTTAAATGGCAAACAGGAGAAATCATTTGGGGTGGGAACTGAAAGTGGGTGTCCCTTGAAGGAAATGAAATACAAGACATTGAGGGAAGGTTCTAAAAAAGTAATGACAAGGCAAAGGAAATGATTGAAAGTGGTGTTTTGTCATGCTATTTAGGGAGTTTGAACTAGAGAGTATGTCTCTGGTAATGGAGACATTACCTCACATTACCATCACATGTAAATGAGATGGTGTATGAAACAAACATTAATAAAGCAAGAAAGGTGAATCCCAGAGCTGTCTAATTTAATGACATAATAGACATGTTTTTCGTTTAAGTCTGTATAACCTCACAAGTACCATTCTAAATCTTAATTTTCCCATACAGCCTCTTTAAAGTCTCTAAAAATACAGAAAAGATGAACTTAAAGTTGCTCGTTTTGAAGAAACTTAAGCGTTCTATAAGTTAAATTTTTTAACAGCAATGTTAAAAAGTTGCAAATAAGAATTGTTTGTTTTAACAATAGGGTTTTGTTAAAACCTTCGCAAACATTGCTAGCTGGAATCAAAAACGTAAAAACAAATATTTTACTCGGTTTTCAAAGCCTGCAACTAATCATTGTGTTCATATTTCATCCCTTTAAACAGCGCTGAACCTGCTGTCTCAGATCATTTCACAGAGAATTAGTGCAATCTGTAGAATCTGGTAGAAAAGAGTTCCCCTGTAAGATAAGAGCTACACCTTACCATAAATCCTCCTCCTACGGGCGCCTCTGGAGATCTGTTATGTTCACACCTTTCAAAGCTTTGGTCGTAATTTTTACTCTTACCTGTAGTAGAAGGTTTTATCCAAGACGCTGCCCAGACACCCGATCTCCTGGTACTATTTAATTTCCTTTATTTCCTTGTTTGGCTCCCTTCTGGGATGGAGAGGAAAAACAGGTGCCTGAGAGCAGTAGTGGTCAGACCGACAGCGCGGGGGGGAAAAATACCAGGGATACCAAAGGAACCCGGCACCCCTCTGTGCCTGGTGCTGCTGTTAATACACGGTAAGGATGCGAAACACCGCGGCCTGAAGATGCCTCCCTAAACCCCTCCCGCCGTGCAGCAGACCACGCCCCGGTACGTGCTCTGGCGCAGCACTACTGCCGGCCCGCCCTCCGCCCCTGGGCTCAGAGCTCCGTCGCTGCAGGGGGCCGCGCCTGGCTGCCGGGTAGCTGCTCTCGGCTGCCGCCTACGTGTGAGAGCGCATGTGGGAAGCGAGGCCACGCCTGCCTTTGAATGGGCTGGGCGGGTGTATGCCAGGGCTCAGCACTGCCCTTTGTCTTAGTGATATTCAATTCGGACATCTGGCCTTTCCCCAAACTTTTAGATGGAGTGGGGGAGATACTGGGAGAATGAAACAGCCCCCTGTGAACAGTAGAACTGTTTCCCAAATTCCAAGAATAAGATTTGGAGTATTGGTGTGCTTTGTAGAATAGAAAAAATACCTCCGATCTCTTAGCTGGTTGGACGTGGTTAACTGTATAAGTTTTTTAAAATTAGTCTTCATCTACTGACCTAGTTAAATATATGTGTAAATATAATAATATATGTATTCCCTTTAAGGCACCCAAAGACTTAGTTTATTTTAATGAATGCGCTTTGATATACTTAATTAAATTGAAACTTGACCTACCCCAAGTGGTTTGGTGTTTTCTTTTTCCTTTGCTTGTTGTGTTTTTAAATTTGTAGTATACCTACACCTTTTGAGGCCAGCTATTGAGAGTTCGTTGGGAGAAGATAATCATTTTAGATAGAAGAGGGGTGAGTTTACGGAATGTGGAAAAGCTTAAAGCCTTAAATTTAATCTGTAATTAGCATGTTATGACTGTACAGTTTGATGTAAAGTGCAAAGCTAGGTATTACTTAGAATGAATAACCTCACATCTACATATCCACAGGTGACTACATTTTACACTTTTTAAAAAATTGTTTCCTTTTGAAAAATTCATTGTTTATGGTTTTCGAATAAAATTTATTAAATGAGGGCCTCCCCGGTGGCGCAGCGGTTGAGCGCTGGGTTGCGAAGCTGCGCGCGGCCTCTGCGGCGCCGGTTCGATCCCCGGCTGCTCCCCGGCCACCGGAGGAGGGTCCCACATGGCGCGCAGACCTCTCCTGCCGCCCGCTGCTCCCCTCAGCAGTGTACTTCGGTCCTTCTGCCTGCTCTGCTCCCCGCTCTGGCTCTGGTGAATTCTCTCACCCTCCCGCGCTTCTGACTGTACCCAGTGCATGTATAAACAAAACAAAGAAACCAGCAAAACAAATAAATAAAGCATGCCTCTATAAAAAAAAAAAAAAAAAAAAAAAAAAATTTATTAAATGAGGTACGTTTTTTAAAAAAGCTTTTTCTAATAAAACTGATCTGTAGCTCCAGTCATTTTCTGTGTCTGCATTTAATTAGAAAGTGTCATTTCAGGAGAAAGCTACAATTCTTTTGGCTCCAGAGGAGTTTAATAAATCATAAACTGATGATTCTCCAGGAAGAAGGGCAGGGGCCTAGAGCAGGGGAAGGGGCCTTGCCTGTAATATTTCTCATAAGGGGCAATGCATTTGAAAAGAGTGAGAAACAGCCTGACAAGTAGATTAGGACTCTGATGAGTCTATTTTTTTTAGAAATCTTGGAAATATTAAACATTTATACACACCATGTACAGATTCTTTCCAAATCCTTCTAGATAATATTTTCTCATTGAAAGGGATTTTTTAAAATGGTTCTACATGTAACTGCTTTGATAAAATCTTTATAGGAGCACTGGACAAACTGAGACAAACATTATAAACTGTTGCTGAACTTCCCAGTCTAGTGGTACAATATTTTTATTTATTTTTAATTTTCGTGTGGTGTGAAGAATATTTAAAGCAAAAACCTAACCAAAGTGAGCTACTAACAGCACAGCACATCAGAAAATCCATCACAGCCTGGGTGGACGGTTTTCCTTTTCTTTGGAAGACTAAATTGCAAATAATTGCCACCCCTGTGAACTTCCAGGTCAAGTCACCTTCATCTTTCTTACCTTACTTTTTCAGTTGTTGTTTACCTTTTATGATATTTTATGCAAGTCTTATCTTCTCAGTTAATCTCTTAGTTCCTTCAGAGCAGTTATCTCTTTGATTGATAGTTGATGGTTTCTAAAATCTCCCACCCTGCTTGCACTAGGACAGTTGACATGATTGAAAGTGGGGGAGAATCTTGTGACATGGTACTAGAGAAGAATTATGTTGGGAGGAATGGAACAGGGAAAACAGGACCTATTTCCAGGTTTTCCTTTGAAGTTCATTCATTCAGTAAGCAATTACTACAGATTAAGTCCAAGATATTTTGCCATGGAGTGAATGTTTGTGTCCCCACAGAATTCATATGTTGATACATAACTCCAAAATGATAGTATTTGGAGGTGAGCCTTTGGGAGGTCATTAGGTCATTAGGGTGGAGCCCTCATAAAAGATCTAGGTAGATCCACTGCTCCTGTGCTCATGGATATAAGAAGAGGGTCAGCACTCTGCAAATTGAAGAAAGGTCTCAGAATGTTGGTCTCACTATGTTAGCACTCTGATCTTGGCCTTCCAGCCTTCAGAACTGTGAGGAATTAAGGTCTGTTGTTAGGCTGTTGGCTTGAATGGACTAATGGAAATATTAGTGGATAATGGAAATATTCTAGAATATGTCTGCCATCAATAGTGTAGCTAACTTTCCATTATACAAGGTGTGTACACATTCAGCTGTGACTGGGCAAATACAGTTGATAGTTAAATAGAATTTTTATTGATCATTTAAGATGTTCTTAGTCACCATGACCTTTCCTTTTTATGAGTTATCTCTAACTTGATAATCTATATCGAGACCAGGCAGCTCCCCACACGCACCTCATATTTGACCTGTCAAAATGAATTAATTTGTCCTTCAAATGGCTCCTCCTTTTGCACACCCAGCTTGGTGAATGGCACCATCCAAAACTTTATAGGGTACCTGGAACTTGAGACCTCCCTGTTACTGAGTTTATTGCAGGGACCCTAGAGTCAGATCCTTGATTGTTATCTTCCTCTTGTTGCCAATCACCAGTGAGAAATAGACTCTCCATCCTGCTTGACTGCTACTCTGCCTGGTGAATGACTCTATAAAACAATGATTCCTTACCACTTTCATGCCAAGAGTGTACCTCAGGTCAGTTGCCCAATTCTTTGCTCAAATCCTTGATTGGGTTTTTAAATTCCTTTCTTTATATCAATACAAACAGAAAAACTAAAAATTCAGAACTCTAGAGGTTGGTTTTCATTCATGCCCTTATCTACCAAGTCCAGGCTGGCACTGTTCTTTCCTTAAATTTTCATGCTGGAAATTTTAGAACATGTTAAAATGTAAAGAGAATAGTATAATGATGACACAATGTTTTTGCAGTTTGGGTTCCCAGGGATATAGACTCTGAGTTGGAGATAGCAGGTGATTTATTAGGGAGTGCTTTAAGGAACAATATATGGGAAGGGCAGAAGTGGGCAGAGGGAAAAACTGAGCTGAGATGGAGTCCCAGCAGAGGCCCCTAGTAGTTACATGGTGAGCTCTCAACTTGGGATAAGTCTTGAGAATTAAATTATAGGGAAGGATGGGGTGTTTACACTCCTACACCAATCAGTCATTTTTATGTGGGCTGCCCACAGAAAAAGACATGACCTTTAGTAAGGTTGACTTCTTCAGTCTAGAAAATCCCCAACACTGACAACTGAGGACCATCTTCCTTGCAATCTTTCATTCCCGAGATACCTGGATATCTTATCACAGTCCTAACACTAGTTAATTAGATCTCTAAGTGCATGCATTTTGTTTATACTGTGCTAGATTATAGTCTAGGTGAAGAAATGTTGGATTAGTGGTGGGATGATATTTACAACAGTTTCTCAAGAAAGATTGTAGAAGGCTGCCAGGGTTATAAAAGAGCCACATATTAAGTACCATATTATGTGGGTGGAACCTGTAAGAACGAATCCAGTCCATTTCCTAGGAAACTCTTCTGTAATCCTCTTTTCATATGGGGATGAGTGGAGGGGAAAGTTCTTCCCTAGCCATCAAAGTTGGCTTATGTCACTCTGGGATCACTTTAAAAGAGAATGACAATAAGGATAGACCAATTACATAAACGAGCGAAAAATGAAGACCAAAATCCTTTGTGGGCTCTGGGACACTTGATAAATCAATCTCTTCAAAGAAATTAAGTGCAGCTTAATCCTGTAGAAAAGAACGGTCGGCACACGCAGGCGCAGTCGGCACCGCGCGCTGGGGGCAGAAGGAGGAGCGAAAGAGGCCGGAAGCGCGTCGCGGTCTCCGTGCGTCACGCCGGGGGCGGGGCGCCGGGGCCGCCTTTCCCCCGCGTCCCGCGGCTGGGCCGCTCGCGGCGGGTGGGCATGGGGACTCCTCCAGGCCTGCAGGCCGACTGCGAGGCGCTGCTCAGCCGCTTCCAGGAGACCGACAGCGTGCGCTTCGAGGACTTCTCCGAGCTCTGGAGGAGCATGAAGTTCGGGGCCATCTTCTGGTGGGTGTTTCTGGTCTGCTCTCCGCCTGTCTCCCGGCTCAGAGACGGCGTCGCAAGTGGCTGCCTTTCCCCCTCCATCACCGCACCCGGGTGGGACTGAGGAGAGCGACAGTCCGAGCGCTGCCTCCTCCTTCCCCGGGGCTTCACTGGCGTGCACGCCGCGCGCTTTCCCCGGCGGTGGTACCGGCTTCGGTTGCATCCTTTGGCCGCCTCTTCTCCAGTGTGTCCCTGCCTGATGGCCTCCGGGTCTGCTCTGCCGCGCCCTCACCTGGGTCGCCCTTCTGTGCCCTTCTCCGGCCTTGTTCTCCTAGAACTACACCCGGCACGACTGAGTTCATTTTTCATGCAACAACCAAAGTTATCTTTCCAAAGTGCACATTTGATCACGTCACTTTCCTGCTTACTCGCCTTTCAGTGGTATCCCCTGCCCTGGGGATAAAGCTCAAATAATGCTAGTGGCTCTCCAGCCCTTCCTGTGACTGGGCCCTTTAATCTGCAGCTTGGTCTCCCTGCACTCACTTTCTTGCTCCAGCATCTGCTGTATTTTTCCCTCAGGTTTCAGCTCACATTCTTCAGGGAAGGCTTATAATGTGTTCTTGCTGTTTCCCCCCTAGAGCACTTTATGCTTACTTTATCAACTTAACACATTTTATTATAAGTGTGTAGTTCAAAAGTCAGTACGGTGTAGTGGTTAAGAACAGATAGTGGCCTCCAACTACCTGAATTTGAAGCAGAATGTCTGACTTTGGACAAGTTACTTGCCTCAGTTTTCTTGTCTGTTAAAAAAAAGGACTGATAATGCCTTATAATTTAGTTTGGGAATTAAATGAGCTAGTATATGTTAAGTGCACTCTAAATGCTTAATAAATGTTTCTTATTATTGTACTTTTTAACTTTCCCTCTGCTAGGGGTAGTTTCTAGATGAATTTGGTACCCATATTAGCACAGTATGTATTCTATTGAAAAGGATAAATAATCAAGTGTATAGTCCTTGGTATTATGCTTAATAAAATGTAAAAGTTCTCATTTTCCTCCATGTAGATATAAAATAATTACCTATATAGTTTGTATATTGCAGGGATGAAGGATGGAAATTATTTGTACAGTTACTGAAAGGAGAGGAACTAATTTTGTAATTGGTTACTAAATGTAATGCATTTACAATTTAATGTATTTAGTGGATTGAACAACTTTGAAAGACAGGTATTATTATCCTTGTTTTATAGATAAGAAATTGAGGCTTAAGGGGGTTAGTAATTTCTCCAAGATCACATAACTTGTAAGTGGTAGAGCAGAAACCTAAGTTCTGCCTGTTACCAAAACCCAAGATCTTTCACTGTATCCCTCTTGGGAAAAGTGGCAGTTCAAGGAAATTTTGCTCAGATTACCCAGATATTTACCTAATGAAGAAAATTTAAAATTAGAAAAAAGTAGAGACCACTGAAGAGTGTGGATTTTCTTTAAAGATTGCATTTGCTGTCAGTATTATAGTAGGTATTTTGCATTCTTTCAGTATATTTTTATTTGAAAAGCCAAGGTTTTAGAGTATAAGGGGGTTTGCTTCCCAACCATGCTTCTTTTTTCACTTTGATAAACTTTACCTTGCAGGTTTGGGAGGACCCAGGGCTAGGGTGATGGTGGTGGGAGGGTTTCATTGTATTGTTCTCTTATTTTTTCACCTACGTATCTTGAGGACAAATGTGATGTAGGTAACTTGAGTCTTGGGGAAAATCTTGTTTATATTAAAATGCATGTCATTTTTGTATTTTATTTGGTTACCTTAATATGTTAAATCTTTTACATTCTTAACTAGTAATTATTTGTAAACCCTCTTGTTTCACTTTCCAATTCAGCAAGGAAACTTGAAGCTTTGGAAGGATGTTTCATATTTTCTTAACAAATGCCTCTGCTTAGTGTAAGTAGCTTGGCAGAAAATTAGGTCTTTGTGCTTCATGAAGGGATCAGGTGGAAATGTCCATCCAGTTTCTAGCAACTGCTATTTAAGCAAGTATATATATACCTTTTATAGTTTTTGTTCTAATTATTTACTTAGAGTCATAATATATTTTCTCTTTGTTTTCTAGTGGTAGAATGAGAAATTTAGAAAAGAACACATTTACAAAAGAAGCATTAGCTTTGGCTTGGCGATACTTTTTACCTCCATATACCTTTCAGATCAGAGTCGGTGCTTTATATCTGCTGTATGGATTATATAACACCCAACTGTGTCAACCAAAACAAAAGGTAATACTTGGTGACTTGTTTTACCCCAGCAGAAATATAGCAGGTACAAGTACTATATAGTAGGTACAAGTACCTACTATACAAAAAAATATTGTATAAGTACAATATTTTTGTGACAAACTGACAAATAGCAATTTGTTTTAAAAGTATACCTGTGCAAAAAGATTTACATTTAGTGACAACTTTTTTTACTTTTTGTTTGCAGATTAGAGTTGCCCTGAAGGACTGGGATGAAGTTTTAAAATTTCAGCAAGATTTGATAAATGCGCAACATTTTGATGCAGCTTATATTTTCAGGAAGTTACGAGTAGACAGAGCATTTCACTATACAGCAATGCCCAAATTGGTATGTTACTTCAACTGTTTGTTTTTTCAAAATGAGAAATTGTTTCAATGTGCATTAATTACCTCAATCTCCTCAAAGTGCAAAGAATATTCTATAGTTTGCAAATTCAGTCTCTATTTTTAGAGACTGTGGATGCTGCCTGCTAGGAAAGCTGTTAGGAGAGAAAATTAGATTCAGCATCCGATGCATTTGTTCATTCCTTTGTTCAAACATTTAGAGAGGTTACTGAAAGGGGACCAAGAGTTTTAATGTCAGTTGGTGGCAAGTTGAAACTTCCACTAATGAAATACAGTATTTCTTCAGTCTTGTGACAGTTGAGATACTAGGTTGATAGTACATAAGATTCTAGTTTTCGTTCTGCCATTAGGTGGCAAAGCATGTAACTTCTCTGAATCTTATCTGAATTTTCATGCAGGTGGTATGGCATCTTACAGGTTATTTCAGTTAAAAAATGAGTTGTATGATAAATATACACTCAGAGCTGCCTTTGTTTAGTGATAGACCATTTTTACTGCAGGTTTATATTTCAACACTTAAAAACTGTCCTTTAAAAGGCATCAATTTTAAAAGACTTTTATTATATAGCTGTCATATAGGATGAAGAAAAAAATTCAACGAACTGAAGTTACTGAAGAATTTAAAGATCCAAATGATCGTGTAATGAAACTTATTACTTCTGATGTATTAGAGGTAAATATGCTTTTATGCTTTTAAATTTAAAAGAAGTTTTATTGTTAGCTATATATTGAGGTTATACTGTCACTTGCTGGATACTGAAAATTTTTGTGATTTTAACCAACTACAGAATACTATTATTTTCTCTCAGGTATTATAAGAAATAATACATCCTAAATGTATTGAGATTTATGGAATAAATCTTTACACACAATGAGAAACAGAAAGATGTAGAAGGCTGCCCTTGAACTCAGGACTACTGAAACCACCATTTTATTTGAGTTTTAATTTTTTTAAGACAGCATTTATCAATTTAAGATTCTTTTTACAATGCTTATTTAAAAACCATTGAAAACAATGAGTCTGTTTTGATAAAGCTCTGCTTTGCTACAGGTTTGCTTTGAGAGCTTTTCGTTCAATACCGTTTTGACCTTATTTCTCCTGTTCTAGCATAGACTATGATCCATTCTCATTGATACTCTTTAAATTTAATACTTCTCTGCTTTTCTTTTACTGCCTGAAGATGCTTTTAAGTCTCCATCAGCAGACCTGAGTTTTGATTATCATACTAGCATTTATTAGTTCTAGGTCTGTGGTTAATAAAATGAGGGGACGTAGGTCTTGAATCAGCTGATTCATCTGACTGATAGATTGAAACATTTGATTTCTAATTCTACCTTTGCTACTTAAATATAACCTTCAGCAAATGGTTTCATTTCCGATTCAGTTTCTTCATTTATACATTTATGATAATGACCTATGTGGAATATTCAGTTGTTTTACATGTGTTATCTCACTCATCCTGGTACCCTGCAGAGGAGTTAATATAGCCCCCATTTTAAAAATGATGAAACTGAGGCTCAGAGAAGTTAAATTTGCATGAAGTAAGATGCACTAAGGTGCAGACACTGGATTTGGATGTCCAGGTTGGTAAAGCACTGTCTTTTATTCCTTAATCCTCTAATTTATATAGTGCTTGACATTGCTTAGAACTCTTGTACAAGCTCACTTAATACTTTTAAAGGAGGTTAGTTTAGCATTACTTCATTTTAAACAAATGTAGGATGTGATTCTCAGACTGAGTAGCTTATCAGAGGTCACAATCTTGCAAATGACAGAAGTGAAACTTAAAACCTGGTCTAGCTAGTGTTTTTTCCCCTGAATTTTGTTGCCTATGATAAGATAATGGCAGTATAGCACACAATAAACTAAAAAGTTAGGTGATCCCCATGTCTGGATACTCTTTCTCCTTTGAAGATCCAGCATGTGTGAGCATGAGCATGCACTATTACTTAGTCTTTTTTTTTTTTTTTAAAGATTTATTTATTTATTTATTTATACAAGTACTGGGGTACAGTCAGAGGCGCAGAGGGTGAGAATTCACCAGAGCCAGAGCAGAGAGCAGAACAGGCAGACTGACGAAATGCACTGCTGAGGGGAGCAGCGGGCAGCAGGAGAGGTCTGCGCGCCATGTGGGACCCTTGCTGGCGGCCGGGGATCGAACCGGCACTGCAGAGGCTGCTGACATCTTCACAGCCCAGTGCTCAATCGCTGCGCCACTGGGGAGGCCCTACTTAGTCTTTTTTGATTCCTTGGACAGATGTCAGTCAGTTCCATCGAAATCCACTAGAAATGAGTTGAATAGCCTAATTTAGGCCTGACTCAGGTGTTGCAGTGATGATCTGTAACAGATGTGTCCGTAGCTTTCTGCTGACCTTCACACTAAGCCCCAATGTTGGTTTTGTATAATTTCTTAAGTCTGCCTGCAATGTACTATCTTTTTCCTTACCCCATCGACCTGACCATTTGCCTGGAGGTTTCTGGGGGATGAAGGTCCTGGCGCCTAGGTGATACCTCAACTGATGTCATACATCACCCTCAATTTCATTTAATGCTGAATCTTTGATGAAGTTTATGAGGAATAGCAGATGAACTTTAGGACTTGTAAAAGGCAGCACATCTCTGTGGAGGATAAATGAGAGTCATTTTATAGGAATTTTCAGCTGAGCATCAGGAAATGTGTAAATATCCTTGATGTGATCATATGAAATGAAAATATGATCTTAGTTATTAGTCATGATATTTAATGATATACTACAGTTAAATTTTCTTACATTCTAGAATGCAATCCTCTGTTGATTAGTCTTTTTTTTTTTTAATAAAAGTTAATGGGGGATACATTTTATTTATTTTTTTCAAAGATTTATTTTTTTATTTATACAATAGCTGGGGTATAGGCCAGAGGTGCAGGAGGGTGAGAGGATTCACCAGAGACAGAGTGGGGAGCAGAACAAGCAGAAAGACCGAAAACGCTGCTGAGGGGAGCAGCAGGCGCTATAAGGAGAGGTCCGCATGTGGGAATCTCCCTGATTGGCTGGGAATCGAATCTGCAATGCAGAGACTGCTGACAGCTTCACAGTGCTGTGCTCAACCCGGGGAGGCCCTGTGTTGATTGGTCTTTACCCACTGTTTCTCTGTACCGTGTTTATTAGTTGATGTTTGTTGAATTGAACTCATTTCATACCTCTGGAAAGCTGTCTCTTCATTAATAATGTTACGATTGTGTTATTTTCAAGATACTGTAACATGTTATTCCTTATCAACTCAGTTACTTTGGAAGGTGATATTATTTTGTTTTGCTTTTACGTTTCTCCTCAAAACTTGAAATGAAGGATTCATCTTTTCACTTTTAGGAAATGCTGAATGTTCACGATCACTATCAGAACATGAAACATATAATTTCAGCTGATAAATCCAATCCAGACAAAGCCCTCAGTTTGATAAAGGATGATTTTTTTGACAATATCAAGAACATAGTTTTGGAGCATCAGCAATGGCACAAAGACAGAAAAGTATGTGATTTATATCTCACCTTTGATTTACATTATATGTGAATCCAGTTCTGACTTTGCTACTTAGTATATAATGTTGTTTAACTTTTCAAGTGGCTTTTACATAAAATTACATAACATGTAATTAAGCGATTATTAATAATTACATAATTATGTTCATTATATTTAATATATGTAATTGGGGGAATAAAAATCTTGGTGTACCACAGATTTATTAGAATCTTTATAACTTATTAGCATTTTCTAAGAGGTTGCACACTGGCAGTCTCAGGGCCAAGTCCTGCATGCAGACATGTTTTGTTTGACTCAGTGTTGATCATAATATTGTTTTAAAAAATTGGCTTAATTACCAGCATTTAAGTATTTGTGGACATCGCTAAAAAGTCTAGATATTCAGCTTCTTTTAAAATCAGAGGTCTGCTGCCACTAGTCTTGCTTTTGCTTCATGGCAACAGCAGCAGGGGAAGTGGTGACAGGGCATGTGCTTCTCTGTTCACCACATGCTCTACTTGACTGGTTCCCAGACTTACACGTTTCAGCAACACAGATCTTCAGTTTAATTTTCTGATTCAAATATTGATGTTACATTTGCCTGTATTCCACATTAGCCTTTTTTTACTCTGGAAACCTAAAGACTAGTCTTGCTAAATTTGTCAAATAATTTAGTAAATACTTCTATTTAAAAAAGTAAGATATAGGCATTTTTCTGATTACTTTTATGTCTGATAGTGTGTCTGTTTTTGAAAATGCTAGATAGATATTATCTTACATATTGTCTTTCTGAAAGATGTGTTGCTACTTTGTGGCTTTTCATTATATAAAGGCAGCTGCTTTAAAACTAAATTTTAGAAGCCTCCCTGGTGGCACAAGTGTTAAAATCTCAGTGCTTTCAAGCTATCTCTAGCCACTGCTACATGAGTTCGACCCCTGGACAGCTTACATGGTGCAACAGATCTCACCTGTCTTGCCCTTGCTCCCCTCAGCAGTATATTTCAGTAGATTCTCCTCTTCTGCTCCCTTTTTGGTGAATCCTGTCATACCCCCCCCCACACACACACACCTCTGGCCTACACCTTAGTTCTTGTTTACATAAATAAATTAAAAAAAAAAAACACTTAATTTTAGAAAAGAAATAAGGAAAATGAGAAGATGTTGATAATCTTGGAAAGAAGGAACTAATTTGCTTCCTCTACCCACATTTATTTTATTATGAGATAATACATATTAGGATGTTGGGGTGCTACAAGTGGGTCACACAAATGACCTGTGTATTCATAGGCAGAGTGCTGTCCTTTAATAAATAAAGGCTTTTTATTTTATTTGTTTATTTTTTAAAAATCTCCTTTTTATATTTTTAAAGATTTTTTATTTTTTAAAGATTTATTTATTTATTTATGCAAGCACTGGGTACAGTCAGAAGCACGGGAGGATGAGAGAATTTGCCAGAGCCAGAGCGGGGAGCAGAACAGGCAGACTGATGAAACACACAAGATTTATTTTTATACAAGAACTAGGGTACAGGCCAGAGGCGCGGGAGGGTGAGAAGATTCACCAGTGACAGAACGGGAAGCAGAACGGGCATACAGGCGGAAAGCACTGCTGAGGGGAGCAACGGGCAAGACAGGAGAGGTCTGCCGCTTTGCCACCGTGGAGGCCCAATAAAGGCTTTTTAATGAACATTGCTACTCAGGTTTCTGAAAACCTAAAGAAAAGGAGAATAAACTAATTTTCTTACTACTACATAATCTGCATGTTATTCATCATTAGGACTATTCTGAAACCTAGCTGTGATCTTAATAATGTCAGGTGGTGAACAGCACTAACTTCAAACAATCTTTCAGTGTTTCAGTAATTAAAAGTAAATGATTCTCATTGTTCTGTAGTTGTACTTCATTTGAGTTGTAATTGTGTGTGTGTATAGATAAATATAACTTTTTTTGCTCTTTCAGAATCCTTCCTTAAAATCAAAGGTTAAAGATGGAGAAGAAAAGAGGGACAAGAATTCCCAAAAATCAGAGGTCAGAAAAATTTGCTTTGTAATTGCTTGTGGAGTAATAGTTTGGTTAACTCCTTCATTTTATGTATGACTGATTTTATATGTTAAGCTTTGTGAGTCTTGGTCAGTATTATAAATATCTCAGAAAGTTTTGAAACATGCTTTACTGGCGGCCTTGTGAAAGACTGCATCAGCTATAGATTGGGTGTGAGGATGTTAACTGTGTTTAGCAGGGAAAGGAAAGGATGATGGAATGTGCCTTAGTCCTGACAGGGGCAGAGTAAGGCTTTTATAATTAGTTTTTCTTCTTGTTGACCTTTGTGGAGCCCAAGCTTCTATTTACTGCTTCTCCCATCTATCCATCTTTGTGGATGAGATAGTGTGTGTAGGCGCCTAAGGAGGGAATGGCCTGATCACCAAAGCTTTTTGTTCATATTCTTTAAATTCTGAGTGAAACAGCCAGTAACTATGGGGAAGGTATCCTGGCACCTGCTGGAGACATGTGTGTGTGTGTGTCTGTACTCAATACGGATCCAGTAAAGGTTAGTTTCTTTTATTCCATCTTTCTCAAATCTTATTTCTGATAACAGATACTTGGGAATTCATAATCTCACTTAATGTTTATGTGTTTTGACCCCCCACTCTTTCTATTTATTTTACTTCCAGAGATGTGAAAGGGCAGAATCATTAGCGAAAATAAAATCAAAGGCCTTTTCAGTTGTTGTTCAGGTAAGTTATTTCTTTAATAAGGTAATTTGGGATTGAACTCATTGCTTTCAAATTCAATTTGTGCTTTTCCTCAAAGTAATACATGTGCATAGTTAAGAAAGTCCAGTAACACCATGTAGGTTATATAAACACGCAGTCCCTTGCTCCACCCCTTCCCACCCCTGCATTCCTAATCTCCAGCGGCATCATCTTAACTTTTTTTTTCTCCTGGTATTTATCTGGACTTTTGATGCCCTATTCTTCATTTGTCTTCCAGCTTCTAGTAGTTCCAATTTTGAGAGGTTCTTGGTTTTTTTTTAACCCCTGGAGGTCTAAACTTTCACAATCAAGTAACTTGCTATACGTCTTTTTCAGCCATTGTCCTAGGCTCTCATGGTGAACTTACTTTCAACATGATAATCTTCATTCTGAGGGATATTTTGCATTATTTCTTTGGTAGTATTTTTTATCTTGCTTGAAACTTTCTTATTTTACTTTCCTGCTTTCAATCTCTACTTTCAGGGACATCTCTTTAACTTGGACTTTTGGACCGTTACATTGAATTTTAATTTCTGCTCACTTTTTTATTACTAATATTTTTTCCTTCTCTGAACCTCTTCTTACAAAAAAATGCATCTTCTTATTTTTTTTGCTGAATACAGTAACCTTCTCTCTTTTAAATTCACTGGTTATTTTTGTTTGTGTGTTTGATTTTGGATCCAGTAATTTCTACCTGAAAGCAATCCTTTATTTTGAGCAGGAAAGTGGCAAATAGTCTGGCTGCTAATGTTTTGGGAGCCTACAGAAAATCAGTCAAGAGGTGCACCATTTCTTATATGGGTTTCACTCACCTTTCCTATTTTCACTAGGAGGGCTTCCCTCCTCAGCTGTCACAATACAATTTCCTCAAACCTAACTTTTCTTGGTTTAGCCTCTCCAGAGAGCGAACCTCTTGTTTGCTACAGGGAAGGTCAGTAGTTTAGCTTTGAGGCTGGAACTCTGTTACTTCCCATGGGGGTTTCCAACATATCTACTCATTCTTTCAGTCCCAGCTCCTGATCCACTTGGATCAGCTTGCTTTGTGGTAATATTCAGTTAGTTTTCAGCTATCTTCATTGCATTAAGTTTGCTACTGTTCACTTTCCCACTTTCCATCTTCCAGAATTTTGTTTTGTTTACAGCTGTGTCGTTTCCTATTTTTTCTGTTTTGTCTTTCACTCCTTTATACACGTTAATGGGGTTTCAAGAGGGATCACTGGTGAGTTAACTTGCTTAATCCCAAATGTTTTCCTGAATATTTTACATTTTTCCTGTGGGAAATTATCGTTTTCTGGTAAAAGAAATAAAATATTGAAAGTGACTGTTGTTTAGTGTTATATCTGCTTGAGCACAAAGTATTATTGAATAAAAGCACTAAATGATTTTTAAACTATTTTTATCACTCATTGTATAATATATTAAGGCATTTTGAAATGCTCTTTAAAATTAATTAAGCAGTTAAGTTATGATTCTCTTAAGTTGTAAGTGTATGTCATTGCATGGAAACTTTTTAACAGTTGTTAATACCTGCACTGTACATGTCACATTAACTGAAAACTCCTGCGTTAGTCAGCACTCTGCTTAAACAAACAAGGGAATACATTGACTCTGTGACTTGAAAGTCCTTGGACTGTCCTTCCATTTCTCAATGTTAAGTTGCTTTCACTCTTTTCAAGTGCTATTCATGATAGCTATAGCTTGTGTTTTGCCAGCTTTTAGGGCCTTAGGAAAGGGAGAATTTTTCTTCCTAATAGGTCAACAGAATTCTATTATAGAGATCATATCTGCACTCTTGAACAAATCACAGTGGCCATGGGGATGTAAAGCTCATTGTGATCATATCTGGACCACATAGCCTGGAGCCAGGTGTAAGGAATTCCACTCAAAAAACATGTTGGTATCTGAGGAAAATAAAATATTATTAGAAGTAAAAGAGAAAACGTTATTAGGAAGTAAAAAACACCAATTGTGCTTTACACCTCAGTTTCACATGCAACTATGTCTATATTTTAATTCAACAACCACATTTTAATTCAGTTGAAGTAATGGTGAGGACAGATACAGAAAACTTTTCATGTTATAAAGATAAGAGAGGGTATATATAAGACATGTATTAAGCAAACCAATATGGAAAAGTATTCTAGGACAAATCTTTTTGTGTAAATCTTATCTTGATTGTCCTTTTTTTTTTTTAAAACGATCTGTCATTTGGATTCATTTTGTGGTTCATTGTGCTTGACTGGATTTCTAACTCTTAAGGCGTCCAAGTCAAGACGGCATCGTCAAGTCAAACTTGATTCCTCTGACTCTGATTCTGCTTCTGGTCAAGGACAAACTAAAGCAAGTAGGAAAAAAAGAAATAAAGAAACATTGAAATCAGCAGGAAGAAAGATGTCTTCCAGAGGTAACTTTTTTTTTTTTTTTTTAGAGATTTATTTATTTAGTTAGTTAGTTATACAAGCACCGGGTACAGTCAGAAGAGCAGGAGGGTGAGAGAATTCACCAGAGCCAGAGCGGGGAGCAGAGCAGGCAGAAGGACCGAAGTACACTGCTGAGGGGAGCAGCGGGCGGCAGGAGAGGTCTGCGCGCCATGTGGGACCCTCCTCCGGTGGCCGGGGAGCAGCCGGGGATCGAACCGGCGCTGCAGAGGCCGCGGGCAGCCTCGCAACCCAGCGCTCAACCGCTGCGCCACCGGGGAGGCACCAGAGGTAACTTTTAAAAGTCTTTCTGAGAAAAGATGAGTCTTACTTTCAACCTCCCATTACCATTTTGTCTTTGTTAAATAAGATTATATATTGTTTGATGGAGAACCTAGTGAGATTTAACATTAAAAATAAATTATCTTAAATTTTTGGGATTTATTGATGAAAGGACCCTAGGCATTGTAATAAATTCATCATTTTGTAGATGATGAGATTTAGGCCCATACAAATTACATAACTTGTCCAAAAGTGATATAGGTAAGTAGTTATTGAGTCAGACTAGAATTCTTCATAGCAAATTTTATTTTATTTTTAAAGATTTTATTTATACAAGAGCCGGGGTTTAGTCCAGATGCACGGGAGGGTGAGAAGATTCACCAGAGACAGAGTGGGGAACAGAACAGGCAGTCTGATGAAATACATTGCTGAGGGGAGAAGCGGGTGAGACAGGAGAGGTCTGCTTGCCATATGGGTTGCTCCGAGGCCGGCGGGGATTGAACCGGCACTGCAGAGGCTGTGGATAGCTTCACAGCACTGCGCTCAACCACCTGCACCACCACGGAGACCCCCATAGCAAATTTTATTAGTAATTTTTGTGTATGAGTCCAGATTGTATGTACAATAAAGTATAAGTAATACGTTCTATGAATTGCATTTCCCATTAGCTACACTAATGAAGTTGTACCTGCTTTTCTTTCTTTTTTTTTTTTTTTATTTTTAGAGGCATGTTTTATTTTTATTCATTTATTTGTTTGTTTGTTTGTTTATACATGCACTGGGTACAGTCAGAAGCGTGGGAGGGTGAGAGAATTCATCAGAGCCAGAGCAGGGAGCAGAGCAGGTAGAAGGACCGAAGTACACCGCTGAGGGGAGCAGCCGGCGGCAGGAGAGGTCTGCGCGCCATGTGGGACCCTCCTCAGGTGGCCGGGGAGCAGCCGGGGATCGAACCGGCGCCGAGGCTGCAGGCAGATTCACAACCCAGCGCTCAACCGCTGCGCCACCGGGGAGGCCCCTGCTTTTCTTTTGAAACAGTGTATCTGTCAAAAATATTTGGCATTTGGTTTTTAAAGAAATGACTTTTAAATGTATCATTAAAAAATTATATACATAATATTTATTCACTATTATAAAGTAGGAATGTGATGAGCAGGCTGGGGGTGGTGGTGGCGGGGGAATGAGCTTTGAAACAAGATTAAATATTATTGCCTGATAGGGCCTCCCTGGTGGTGCAAGGGGTTAAAAAGCAACCTATGACGCTATCCGCAGCCACTGCAGCACGAGTTTGAACTCCGGCCAGGGAGCTACCCACGTGGCACAGCATACCTCTCCTGTCTCGCCAGCTGCTCCCCTCAGCAGTATATTTCAGTCGATCTGCCTGTTCTGTTCCCCACTCTGTCTCTGGTGGATCCTCTCACCCCTACACCTCTGGCCTGTACCCCAGTTCTTGTATGCATAAATAAATAAATCTTTAACAAAAATATTAATGCCTGATATAAGACAGACACCTAGCTGCTGCAGTGGTATATGAAGATATATTACAGTCTTTTAACTTATTTTTTCCATATTGATATAGTAGAAGAAAAACTGAATTTAAATACCTTTAGTATTTTACAGTTATGATTATGTACCTTAACAGTTACTTGAAGCACACTGAGAATGTAGAGTAGAAGATACTAACTTTTTTAAGGATAGTCTGGAAATATTTCCAAAGAATTGCCTAATTCCTTTTACAAAGCTAACAGACAATGTGGAGAGAACTATTATGCCAGTCTCACTTAGAGGTGTTATAGAAAAAATTCTAAATTATATATGTATATAAAAGATCCCAGATATAGAATAGCTTGACTGTGTGCATTCATTCCTGGATGCGAGGATGGGGAAGCTAGGAATGTCTGAATATACTTTGCCATATAAACAGATTAAGGGGAAGCATGAATTCATTTTATTAGTTATCAAAGTAGACATTTGGTAAAATCCAGCATTCAATCTTGATTTTAAAAAAAATGTTCTGGATTAGGGGGGTCAACAAACTGTTACTATAAAGGACCAGATCATCTGTATTTTAGGCTTTATGAGCCTTGTGATTTCTTTTTTTTTTAAGATTTTTACTTACTTATTTTTGCGTAGAAGAACTGAGGTGTAGGCCAGAGGTGCGGCGGATGAAAGGATTCACCAAAGTCAGAGTGGGAAGCAGAACAGGCTGACTGAATTACACTGCTGAGGGGAGTAGTGGGTGAGACAGGAGAGGTGTGCTGCGCCATGTATGTTAGTTAGCTCCCTGGCCGGGATCAAACTCAGGCCATCGCAGTGAGAGTGCTGAGACTTAATCCTTAGGCCACCAGGGAGGCCCAGCCTTGTAGTTTCTGTGACAGCTACTCAGATCTGCCACTATAAGGTGAAGGCAGCCATAGAGAAAACATTCCAATAAAATAGTATTTACACAAACAGGTGGTGTGCCAGATGTGGTCAGGGACAATAGTTTGTTAGTCCCTGCTTCAGATAGGAGAAATAGATGGTTATATCTTTAATTTTATAAAGTATGTGAGGGTTATTAGACCAAAAACCACCTCATGTTTGATGGTAACATATACAAGTATCACAATCTTACTTGCCATTGCTCTTGAAAATGACTATCAGGTAATTAGCAGATTGAGGTATGTAATTTTTTTTTTTTAAAGATTATTTACTTACACAAGCACTGGGTACAGTCAGAAGCGCGGGAGGGTGAGAGAATTCACCAGAGCCAGAGCGGAGAACAGAACAAGCAGAGTGACGAAATACACTGCTGAGGGGAGCAGCGGGCATGGCAGGAGAGGTCTGCACGCCATGTGGGACCCTCGCCTGTGACTGGGGATCGAACCGGCACTGCACAGGCTGTGGGCAGCTTCGCAGCCCAGCTCAACCGCTGCACCACCTGGGGAGGCCCCATATTGAGGTATGATATAATTTCAAAAAGAAATGATACCCAGTCGTCATGATTTGCAAATAAACTGATTTTAAGCCTAGAAAATATCCTAAAGAGAATTTACTGAAAGGAATAAAACTTAGTAAGCTAAATGATGCCACTGTACACCTTATAAAAATTATTGATATTAAGGAACAATTAAGAATGATTTATGCCAATATATTAAATAGCTTAAGTAAAATATATTTCTTAAAAGACACACATTTCTAAAAGCATAAGAAGAAACAAAACCTGGATAGTGCTATGTTTACTAGATAAGTTAAATTCCCAGATGACTCTATTGGGAATTCTAGCAAATGTATAAGAACAGATTAATGACAGTCCCTTTCTTTCAAAAAATATAAGAGGGAACACTTTCCAGCTTATTAAAATTACAAGAAAAGAAAACTAAAAACCAATATCCTTCATGAACATAAGTGTAAAAATCCATACCAAATATTAGGAAATTGAATCCAAAAATATGTTTGAAGGATAATTATTATGAAAAAGTAGGGTTTATCCCAGGAATATTAGGTTGACTTGTTTGGAAAATAAATCAGTATGATTCACCATAATAGCAGAATAAAGGAGAAAAAATATGTATAATTATATCAAAATATGTAAACAAAATATTTTACAAAATCCAGCATCTATTCAGGACGAAAAATGAGTCAATTAGGATTAGAAAGGAACTTCCTCAACTGAGAAAGAACTTCTGTGGAAAACTACAACTAATATACTTAATGGTGAATGAATGCTTTCCCACTACTATTGGGGACAAAACAAGAATGCCTGCTCTCTTGGCACCTATTACACTAAATATTGGAGGTCTTAGTTGGTATAAAAGGAAATAATAGACAATTAGATTGGAAAGGAAGAAATAATGCTGTGTTTGTTTGCAAATGAAAATAGCTTTAGAGACATTTTTACACAGAAAATCTAAAAGAATCTATTTAGATTTTATCTACCACAATGAATAAATGAGTTCTAACAGATTATCACATGCAGGGTTAGTATTTCTCTATACTGACAATGAAAAATTAGAAATTGAAACTTTTTGAAGTACAGTAACATTAAACTCACAAATTATTTCAGCATGTAGGTAACTAAATATTGTCAGGATCTGTATGCTAAAACTATGAAACAGTGATGAAAGAAATCAAAGTTGATTTAAATGAATGAATTCTTGCATTGGAAGATCCAAAATTGTTAGGTTGTCATATAATCCCAAATTGTTTTATACTTTAAATGCAGTCCAAAAAAACCCTAAGAGGTTTATTGTGTTTTAAATTGACAAGTTATTCCTAAATAAATAGGGAAATGCAAAGAAAATAGAGTAGCCAAAATAGTTTTGAAAAATAATTATAAAGCTTCAGAAATCAAAACAGTGTAAAAGAGACTCTAAATTAGTTGAAAAGAGTAGAGTCTAAAAATAGGTGCATCCATGTAGTTGATTTTATTTTCCACAAAGATTCAAAGGCAATGTAGTGGAGAAAGGATAGCTTCAATAAATGTTGCTGATACTTATCCAAGAGTAATAAGAAGTTATAATCCACACAAATATGTATACAAAAGTTTATACTGGTTTTATTTAAAATATAATTAAGGAAAATTACTAATAGCATAAATACCTTCAGCTGGCATTAAAGGCATTAAATAAACAAACTGGTATAACTGTATAGTGGAATACTGCTCAACAATTTAGGAACTACTGATTCATGTAATAACATGGATGGGTCTCACATGAATTTGTGCTGAGTGAAAGAAGGCAGGCACAATAAGCTACATACTGTGTAATTACATTTATTCTGTATGAGTCCATTTGTAAGAGACATTATGGAAAAGGCAAATCTATAGAGACAGAAAACACATCATTAGTTACTAGGAACTGGCGGGTATTGGAAGGTGTTGACTGTTGGGGCCCAGGGGGAATTTTTGGCCTGATAGAACAATTCTATATTTTAATCCCATTTGTGTATTGGTCCAACCCTTTGATTTGCATGTTAAAATGCAGATTTTTTGTTACCAGTACTTAGTCTTATCAACAACCAAAACAAAACCAGAGAATTTGAGGAAAAGTCTGATTAGTTAGATTATATTTTAAAATCTTCTGTTATGTTAATTTTTTACTAAAATGTCAAAGATAGTTAGATTTTTTTATTGGCATTTTTCTTATTGATAATCAGCTTTACTTTATGCAAGTGTAGCAGAAAAGATAAGTTGATTAAACTGTCTTAACATCTAAAAAACAAGTGTTTTTTACTTTTTTCAGTGTGGTCTAGGAACAAGGGAGGAGCAAATGCAAGATAGGAAAGAAATGGAAGTTCCATTGTATCTTAAATACTTAACAATTATAGTTTACAAACTATCACGTCCTTCATTTGGGGTGTTTGATTACTTAATATAATTGCCTAAAGCATTTCATAAACTCTGAAATTAACATTGAAGGACCAGCTCTGTAGCATATCTGGAATTTGTTAATGAATTTACCTGGGTGTGTCACGGAGAATTTAACCCATGAGAGTATGCTAAAATATGATCTGATTTAGATCTTAGATCATAGCTCAGTTATTCCAATTAATCAACTTTGTGGCTTAGAAGATATTGTAAATACTCTAAAGCAGAGTTAATTTGTTACATTGTTACTTCATAGTTTCTTTAATCAAAAGTTCACTTCTTTAAAGTTGAAAGGTATTTTCAATTTCATAATTTTTTAAAAAAGGGGAACTTTATATTCTAGGCAGAGGAATCATTTGAGACTTCTGAGAAAGAAAATGACATTGTTGGTTTTCTTTGAAGAAATCAGTCTGGGAGTAGTATGGTAGGTAGGTGGGAACGAACTGGAGGAGGAACCCTAAGTGAAGGCTATTTAGCAGCAGTGAGTGTCTGGCCAGGGGTCTGTAGGAGTTAGTCAAACTGACCAACAGATATGAGGGCCAATCAGTGTCTGTCTACAAAGGCTGATGGGGAGGGATAAGACAAGGATTTTTAATGCCTAAGTAACTAAGAGAATACTAGTGCTTTTAACAGAAATAAGAATCACAAGATAAAGTCTTCATTTGGGGGAAGGATTTTGCCTCTCTTGGGTCAATTCCTATAATAGCTGTCCAGCACATAAATAGGTTCATACTATAATGATTGGATTTATCTAAGCTTGCATTAGTTAAACTTCAACTATACCTGTTCATCACTTCTGGAATATTACATGCAAGTGTCTGGAAGAACATCAGTGATGGTAAAAATGATATGATGGTGAAGACAACACGTAGTTTTTATGTAGCAATATCTGCCAAACATTTTCCATGTTGTCCAAGATCACTTAGCTGATATATAGAGCTGAAACTTGAATGATTATCTGAATTCTAGCCTGAATCTTTAGCTGCTATCCTATACTACCTCTCAGGGAAATATATGGGTCCGATACTCTAATAAGACATGCACTTAAGTCTGTTCTTTGTATTCCAGCTGCACATCTAATAGTCATTTGTTTTGAGATTGAGCAGTGGTCTGTTACTGATAAATGCATCCCACATGATTATATATGAGTCCAGTAAAACTATCTCCATGGTGCGCTTTAGGGAATTCATTGTGTGGATAACTGAGGTGAATGATTTAAATGTCAAATTATACTTTTTAAAAGTTTAATTTTTCGGGTCTCTGTCTTTCTAAAACATACATTCTGTATGTGTTTCTTGTTTTGTACAATGTGCATTTATCATTTTTTAAATTAAAAAAAAAAATACTGAGGGCATCCCTGGTGGTATGAGGGGTTATGATGCAACCTATGAAGCTATCCACAGCCACTGCAGCACAAATTTGATCCTGGCCAGGGAGCTACCCACATGCGCAGCAGACCTCTCCTGACTCGCCCGCTGCTTCCCTTAGCAGTGTATTTCAGTCAACCTGCCTGTTCTGTTCCTCACTCTGGGGAATCCTCTCACCCCCTACGCCTCTGGCCTGTACCCAGTTCCTGTATACATAAAGAAGTAAATCTTAAGAAAAAAAATTAAAAAAAAAATACTGAAATGTAATTTATGCTCTCCCATTTTCTGGAACAGTGTATCCTGAACATAACTTAATTTTCTCCTATGACTCAGGGTTATCATCATGAGCTTATTATTTGACTGAGTTTTATAATTTAATGAACCCATCAAGAAATACTGTAAGGATATATGTCGATTTATCTTTATAACTTGTTTTTGTGCTGCAGTACTTTGTTAGTTCATAAGTCTTTTTTAAAAATAGTTTTTCTGTCGCTTTGTTTGTAGTAGGTATCTTCTTTTTGTTCTCAGTGTACAGACTTGTAGCAATATTTCTTGCCCTTTTTCTGCTTACTAACTAATGGTATAGAAAATGAGCTGGCCATTCATTTCAGTTTTATGTAAAATAAATATAATTGGGTTGGGTTCTGGATAAAGGTCTGAGAAGCATAGCCTGTGACTGAAATTCATGAGCTTTCTTTAGTATGTAGACTTAGAGGTTAACAGCCGGAAGTTTTTGTGTACTCAATTTTAAGTGTTCTGACTATGTGGCTTTGCATTTGTTTTTTAAGACCTTTTAAAGAATATTGCTTTGTTTTTAAAAATTTATTTAATGTAGAAACAGATCTCTAAATCGTAATTAACCATCATGTGACTTCATGAAGGGTCGTTTCTCAACTGTCAGTTTTTAACTCTGAAATCCTATCCTTGAGGTCCTCCCTGGTGGCCTAGAGGTTAAGTTAGCTCTATCACCTCTACAACCTGAATTCAATCCCTGGCCTGGGAGGAAATTCATATGTTACAGTAGACCTCTCCTGTGTCACCCTCTGCTCTGCTTAGTGATGTATTTCAGTAAATCTGTTTGTTCTGCTCCCCACTCTGTCTCTGGTGAATCCGCTCACCTCCCCCACACCTCTCGCCTACACCCCAGTTCTTCTACACCAAAAAAAAAAAAGAGAGAAAGAAATCCTGCCCTTGATATTATTGGATAGATCTTGTTAGGTTATAAATATGGCTTTAAAAAATCATAAATAATTGATATGGATGAGCAATATTAGTGATTTTGTATAGATTGTAGTGATTATAATTTTGTGAACTGAAAAATTTTAGAAATTTGAAGTCTAAAAATGTGATTAGATACGGAAAGATGTTCTAAAGGAATATCTGTCATCTTGAAAATAATATAAAAAATTGTAATAGTTGGGACTTGCAGTAAAGATAAAATTCTGTTTTAATGTGAAATTGGTGTTTTATTATGTTTGAACTGTTTAAAATGGAAGATGATTGCTACAGTTTATGCAATTCCTTTTTTTTAAAGATTTATTTATTTATGCATACAAGAGCTGGGGTATAGGCCAGAGGTGTGGGGGGTGAGAGAATTCACCAGAGACAGAGCGGGGAACAGAACAGGCAGATTGCCCGAAGTACACTGCTGAGGGGAGCAACGGGTGAGCCAGGAGAGGTCTGCTGAGCCATGTGGGTTGTTCCCTGGCCGGCTGGGCATCGAACTCGTGCTGCAGAGGCTGAGGACAGCTTTATAGGTTGCATCTTAACCCCTTGTGCCACCAGGGAGGCCCTCAACTCCTTATAGCAAGCCATCATGCCTTAAAATTTGCACACCCATTAAGATCCTAGCACACATTCGTTGAGAGCAGAAAGCTTAAACTCATTTTTATTTAGTGTCTTTCTTCCTATACTGACAGGTGCTTGTTAACTTAAGTACTCTGTGATAAATATTGTGTTTTAAAATAGTTGAATCCACTTTTAATTATTTAATAAATTTCTATTGAGGCTCTACAAAAGTGCCAGGCACTTTTGTAAGAGCTGGGGATGCACCAGTTTAAACAAATCAAAATCTGCTATTCTGAAGCCTACATTCTAGTAGAGGGAAATTAACTATAAAGAAACAAATTAATATATAACATATTAGTGGTAACAGTGTTGTGGAGAAGATAAGGCAGCATTAGCAATACAGGGGGTTGAGATACGGAAGGTATGTGTTCAGTGAGAACAGACACATTCAATTCTTCAACAACAGAAGGTTGATGTAGAAGCCTCCAATGTTTTGGAAATTGACAAGTAAATGACTAGAGAAGTAATAAACCTTGTGGAAATTATGTGATGGTAAAAGAGAATGTATCTGCATTTAAAAACAAGGGTATTAAATTTTAAATTACGTTTGACTATTTAATGTAATAAAGTTGAAGTGACACATGATTATTGCCTGTTGACTTAACCTGTACTATGTGTGGTAAAGACTGACAGCGATGTCTGTGTGGCTAATTTTGTTTCTTCCCTTTTCCTCTGTTTTATTTACTTTAGATCAAGAGACTATTTTCAAAGTAAATACATATTAAAAAATATGTATTTTAAAATGTATATTTCTCTTTACCATTTTAATTTTGGCTTTCATTTTAAATATTTTTGTGTTTTTTATGTTGTTATAATGATGACATTATTTGCACAAATTTTTCTCAAGGGTTACTATAGTGTATATTTTCATGTAAAATGATTTTTCATTTATTTCCAGATGACATACAGAATGTCCCTAAAGAAGATAAGTCTTTAAGTCTGAGTATGCCTGTAATTACAGAGGAGGAAGAGGAGAATGAAAGTTTTAGTGAACCAGGTACAGATAAAATTTTATCAAACTGCTCAAGGAAAAGTTATGTTGTATAGCACTAAAAGCATGATGGTTGACTATGTTTTATTTTTAGCATATTGGCAGAATTTTAGTATTAATCATGCTGTCAATCCTAGCACTTTAATGTAAATGATAATACAATAAATGGATGCATCGGGAAGGCAAGGGATGGTAGAGGTGAGAGGTAAAAGATAGGGAAAATATTAGTGTCTCTAATCATGAGGATGCCTAGAAAGTATTTCTAATAAAGGACAAGGTTCACAAAATACAAATTTCTGCATATAATTTCAAAAAGATTTTAACGTTAAAATTATCTTAAATTCAAGTAAAATGTAAAATTTTCATCTATGAAAACAACTAAAACAGCTTACTTCTAAGTAGTAGTAAATTGCACATGAATTAAAGGAAATAGACATTTCATTGTTGTGATTTTCATAATTTGTAACAATAACTACAAATTAAATAACTATTATCTTTAGTAATAATTATAATAGTAGAGAAAATAAATTACATTTATAGCAGGCTAGACTTGATAATTGGGAACCCATAAATGATAGTGAATGTAGTATATCTTAAGAATACTGCCTAGTGATTTCTTTTTCATTTTGGTTCTATATTCATTTAGTAAGTTTATTGAGGGCTTGCAGGGTTTCAAACGTTTAGATAGGGATAGGGATATAAAGATATATGCTACAGGAATATAAGAACCATTTTAATTTTGATCACAGATCTGAGCATGGTGACTGGCCCATAGTGGACCCAAGTAGATATTTGTTGAATGCATCACACTAGTCTGTGCCAAAGAGAAAACCAACTCAGTACATGATGGTGAAGAGAAATAGGGTGTTATAGAAGCATAGTAAAGCCAAAAGCCAGATGATTAGTAAAGGAGAATATTTATTGTTCCTTCAGAAATCGGAGCGCTTGTTTGCGTATGTCAGCATTTAACAGCCCTTTTCAGTTTTGTGTTGAGTTCTAGACTAGAATTTTTGGTTTTGGTTGGTGACTTTTATTATGAGTAAACAACTAAAACACTAATATCCACCTTTATGGCTACCTGGAAGATAACATTCCAAAATCTGTCAGCTGGTAAATTTAAAGATTTAGTTTTTGTTAAGTCATAATTACGTATGTATATAATTTAATATTTCAAACAATTTTTATAATGCTCATTATAAGAAGCTGAATTCTTCTGTGACTCCCATTTCTTACTCCTTAGGGACAACTGCTTTTAACTCTTTACTAATTATTTAAGTGTTTACCTCCACATCTCTGACAGTAGTATTACTACTACTCCATATTTCAGTCTGTGGATTATCTGTTGACTTCCCACTTAGAAAGGCAAGGATTCAGTTCTTTTTAATATACCCTTAGCTTCCTATCCCAAACAGTTATATACTTCTCATCTCCTGCCTTCCAGATATAATCATTATTTTAGTTAGACCAGTAATCAGCATTTACAGCATAAAACATTGATAGCAGAACCATTTAATATACTATCTGTATACATTTATTGTTTTCCTTAATAGCTAATACCTTTTTTTTTTTGCCTTACAATTTTTTTCCATGTACTTATCACTAACTTATCCCCAAACTATTCCTCAGTTATATAAATCTCTTGGCTCTTCAGACACATTAGGTATTTTATTAGTTTTAAGGAGTTTCTCCCAGGCCCCTGCCCTGCACTACCTGGATGGTGTGTTCTCTGAGCCTATCGCTCACTGTGCTGGCTACGCTCCCTTTTCTTATCAGTTTTTTCTTGTCTTTTCTTGTCCCTTTCCCTGTCATTCTTTTTTTTTGTTTTTCATTGATGGGGAGTTTATCTTTACATCTTCCACAATTTTCATGTCTTTGTATCTTCCATTATTTATTTTTAATATTAACTTTTAGGTTCACTTTTAGATAGACAGGCATTTACATTTGTGTGTTGGCTATGGCATCTGCTGTGGTAGGCAAAGAGAGGTGTGGTACCAGTGCTGTGCTATGTTTTCAGGCTTAATTGAAAGGAACTAGAAATCTCAGTCACTTTACCTCTCTTGGCACTGACCTCCATGCCTAAAGATTTGGCACACTGGGTCCATGCTAGTTATGGGGAGGGTGTGCACACATGAAACAACTTCATAAAAGCTTATTAAGCAGGATTTAGATGACTGGGCTCTCCATGAGCAAATTCTCAAGTGCAATATCATTTTGAAGAAAAAAAAATTATGTATATATCTGCTTTAAGATTTCTTGTTGTATCTTTGCTATGAAGACATTCTTACTATGTATACAAATTAAACATCTATATAGTTGAAAGACATATTATCATTTTTTTTAAGACCTAACAGATATCTTAATTTTATGTCTTTAGAGTTTACTGCACCCAAGAGGAAAAGAAAGCACAGAATGAAGAGCCGGGTATAGAGTTCTTAACTTTGAACTTTTTCTGACAGAAGAAAAGATTTATATTTTGTGTATTGTACAGGAAGATTGCCAGTATTAAAAATAATTCTTCTGGGAAAGTAGGCTATTTCTTTGAAATGGCAATATTTATATGGTTCTAGAATAAAAGTACAAAAACTTAGAATAAGGGTTTACTCCAGAATTTAATTTCAGCATTTTCTTTTATGACATTTGCACAAATAGAGATAAATTTGGATTTAGAATATAATAGAAATAATCCTGTAATTTTCAGATTATTACTATCTCCCACAACTTTTTCTGTTATTATACTGATTACTATAGTTCTGGTCATATTAACTATTGTATTTAAAATCTTTTTTTCTTGAAATACTAATGTTTATTACATGTCAATGGCTCTTTTATATCTATAGCCTGATAATGGATTCATTTATATTTTATTTTTTATCATTTTTAGCGATATTATTTTAACTATTTTATATGACTCTAAGTGCAATAAAATTTTTGCCTTATTTGCTTTGTTTTTTCAATATATGAATCTTATATGGTGAGTAACTTATATGATCAGTAACTTAGGTAGTTTGTGTTCTACTTCTGTAATCAATTAAATAATCTTTAGTACTTGTTTTAAAGTTCCCTTTGGCCTAACCTTTTTGTATATGTATATTTACATGTATATATACATGAATATGTACATCCCTAAATATACATGTAATACATTCTGTAAGTACAACATTTAAATATTGTTTCTAATAAAACCTTAAGAGTAGTAATGTAAATTCTAGAATGGTATAGAATTGGTACCCACAGAAAAAAAATGCTGAGCCTTTGTGAATGTTTTTCTCCATTAATTTCTCATTTGAGACATTTAAATGGAAATTACGTGAGCCATGTTGTTGAATTGCTCTCAGTAGCAGACCATCTACATTTCATCTGGTTGGCTTATCCTGTCTTAACAGTTGATTACACTTTATGTTGTTTTCCAGCATTGTATATTTAGGAATTCTGTAAATATCTTGTGTATGAAAATGGTGTGATATCTATAATGTTGTAAAATCAAAATGCTTATGGTATCCACATAAAACTTTCCTTTATTTGAATCTATGCTACCACATAGCTACTAGACAATATTGTTTCCCTTGATTGACATGCAGATGTTTCTGGTAATAGGTGGGGCATTTTTGGAAAGTAGACATTTTGAGCAGAGCTTCTGGGATTTGAATATTCTAGGGTTGGTGCACTTGGGGGTATGGATACATCGTTGGCTACTACTTGTATGCCAGATTATTTGCTAGAATTTGTCTGATCATGAAAATTCACTATTTTTTTTCCCCAATAGTTCTTACAAAATACTAGGTATTATTTCACTTGTACAATGGGGAAACTACTTCAGAATGGTAAGTGCCTTGCCCATATTCACAAAATCAATAAGTGATGCATCTGGAATAAAAAGACAGAGAGCTCTGCCCCATAATCTCAGGGTTAGTTTACATAAGTCAATAGAAATGGAAATTCAAAGAGACTTGACTGCCTGTAGTAAAACCCCACTTCAAAGTGACTTAAACAATTGGTAAAGTTTATTTTAAGACTTTCAGTTGCGTATCAGTGTCAGGTGGCTCTGGTTGTGTAGTATATCATTTTCCTCACGGATTCATGTACACAGGTTTGAGTCTTTAGGGAAAGCTTAATAGCTGTATAGGAAACTCTTCACCAGTCAGTTCCCAAGGATCAAGGCCAACCTTGCAAGTAAGCAATCTCAAGACTTCTATGTTACCTTTTCCCTGTATAGGTTTATTTCATTTTCACTATTTCAATGTTTTGGTGACCTTTATGTGTATATTTTTACTCATTTATTGTTTGCTTGTCAAACTGTGTATATATAAAATTTTGTTACTTGCTGCCAAACCGAACTCCAAAAGATGGCCAATTTACATTCCCACTGATAATAATCCCTACATGTCTATTGCACTGAATATCAATTTTGTAATTGTTGCTAATCGAATATAGCCTGAATCTTAACAGAAAAATGTAGAGAGTTAAAATTAATAAAATTGTACTAAGCAGCTGTGAGCTGTCACATGGTTACATCTGACAGAGCACTTTAGCTGATGGCACCTTTTTCATGAATATATTTTGAACATATGCTATGAATTAGTTCTTAGGTTGCTTTACATGTGAAATTGAAGTATACTGGACAGAATTTAATAGAAAATAATCATGTTTAATAACAGATTTTCAGAATTAAAATGAGTTCAAATACTAGTTTTTTGTTAAGCTGTTTGTATTGTCAAATTGATAATTGATCATAATAAAATAACTAGCAACACGTATATGCATGATTTTAATGTTAAATACTTTAAGTAATGTTTTGTAGAGTATAGGGGTTGTCAGTGTGCATAAGCATAAAATATCTATTTTAAAATGCTACTTTGGAGCAAAGACTATGCATTGGAGCAAAGAAAGTTTGTTCAATAAATGGTGCTGGGAAAACTGGGTCGCTACATGCAAAAGAATGAAGCTTGACCACCACCTCACACCATACACAAAAATCAACTCAAAATGGATTAAAGAACTAGACATAAGACCTGAAACCATAAAATATATAGAAGGAAATATAGGCGAAACACTACGTGATTTGCACATCAAAGACATCTTTACAGACACATCACCCAAAGCAGTGATAGTGAAGGCAAAGATAAACAGCTGGGACTATATCAAATTAAAGAGCTTTTGCACAGCAAAAGAGACAATAACAAAAACAAAGAGAAACCCCACCAACTGGGAGAACATTTTTGCACCCAACACTAATGATAAAGGACTGATCACAAAAATCTGCAAAGAGCTGATGAGACTCAACAACAACAAAGAAAATAATCCAGTCAAAAAATGGGCAGAAGAGCTTAAAAGAAACTTCTCTGAAGAGGAAATGCAAATGGCCAACAGGCATATGAAAAAATGTTCAACATCACTTGTCATCAGGGAAATGCAAATCAAAACTACCATGAGATACCATCTTACACCAGTGAGAATGGCACATATTAAAAAAACTAGCAACAACAAATGTTGGCGAGGGTGTGGAGAAAAAGGAACTCTTCTGCACTGTTGGTGGGAGTGCAAACTGGTCCAACCACTGTGGAAAGCTGTGTGGAGATTTCTGGACCTACTAAACATAGAGCTTCCATATGACCCAGCAATTCCACTCCTAGGTATTTACCCAAAGGACACAGAAACATCAATTCCAAAGAACACCTGCACCCCTATGTTTATAGCAGCACTGTTTACAATAGCTAAGCTTTGGAAACAACCCAAATGCCCAAAAATAGATGACTGGATCAAGAAGATGTGGTACATATATACCATGGAATATTACTCAGCATTCAAAAAAGATAAACACATGCAATTTGCTGCAACATGGATGGCGCTGGAAGGGATCATGCTCAGCGAAATAAGCCAAAAAGAAAAAGAAAAATACCGGATGGTCTCACTCATAGCAGGAATCTAGAAAACTTAAATAATGGACCAGGAAAATGAAAAACTATAAGAAAGTGAAAATCAAAATCAACAAAAAACTATGAACCAGAGACACTTTTAGGGGGGCGGGGGCGGGAGGGGAGGGATTGGGGTCAGAATGGGGGGCGGCAATTGTATGGGGAATATAACAATAAAATTTATAAAAAAAAAAAAAAATAAAATGCTACTTTGAGAAATGTGAAGTATTGTTCAAATTAGAGAATTGGAATTATGGTTAACTTTAATGATATATGCTAGGTTTACTTGAGGTAGCTAAACAAACCTTGAAGAGAAAATTAAATTTGTATGGAAGTTTATTAGGGAAATATTTTTCACCTTGAAAATAAAGTATTGTAATTTAATTTCTGCAGATGAAAACTACCATGGAAATGTGCTGTTCTGAGAAATCATAGTGTGTTCTCTTTGTTTTCTTCATTGGTGGTGGTACAGGTTTATGATACTGTAAGCACACCTGAGATCCCCTCTGGGTTTATAACCCCTTTCTCTGAATGCCTTAAAGGTTTCCTAAATGTGAGTGGATATATGAATGTGAGGAATCATTCCCAGTCTTTTAAAAACCCAATTAAAGTGTTTGTTCTCTGAAACAGACACAGTTGTAACATCTGCCAGGTGTCCTCTGTTGCCAGAGGAGAGTTAATGAACCAACTTTTGGGCAGACTTTCTTCTACAGAGATTTGCAGAACAGTGACATAATAGTGGAATGTATTAAAAACTTTAAATGGTTTAAGTACTTGTAATTTTATGACCTAGGAACTGAAAAATGAAAAAAAAATTGTATTTTCAACCTGTCATTGACTTACTGTATATGCTTAATCTATTTCCTTTTTTTTGTTTTAATCCTTCTCAGCTGTAAATTCAAGATAATGCAGACTGACTTTATAGCTTTGTCCAAAAATAGGAAAAACTGCATAGTGCTTTGAAAATGCAAAAATATGAATGCTAAGCTTCACAATAGTTACTGCTGGGAAGTACTTGGATGCCGAAGAAAGTATCGTAAGTGCTTTATATGATTTTTTTCAAGTCATAATTGAGAGCTTATGTGTTTACATAGATCCTGAGATCTATATGAGACAAAGCTCTCATGGCTGACAACATGAAAGTGCCTATTTTCTTTTTTCAAGTCAAATTAGTTCCAATACGCATACTCTTCCTAATAACCTATTTGGGTTGTTATAGAAAATTCACATATATAGAGATTAAATAGTATAGGCTGAAAATTACTTTTGCTTTGACATAAAGAGCCTAGGAAAATAGGCAGAGTTATTAACATCGTTCCAACCCACACTTGATTCTTAAATTACTGTTCCAAGAACGCTAACTTTTTGAGGACATTCAGAGGACTCTGGGTACTTAACTATTCACATTTTCATTAATCTTTCAAACAATTATGTAGTAATTTTCATTGCACATTTTTAAAAGTATTAAATGTATCATCCCTTTCTGTGTAGTCATTTTTATTCTTGATTATTTGGTTTAATTTACTGCATTTTGCAGGTGTCAATTCTTAAAAGTAAGTTTGGATAGACTCCTTTAGGTTGCAAGGAACAAGGGCTCACTCACAGCATCTTAAATCCTGGAGGCTTATTTTAAGAATACAGAGGATAGTAAGGTGACCATTTCCTTAGAGCACAGCTTCTTGAGGAGCTGGACAAATGACTGCCACATAATGAACACAGCACCTCATATGACTGGGTCACAAGCCTGGAAGTCACAATGTTCATGCTTTTAATGTGCTTACCAACTTCTCTCTGCGCTTTTCTCCCTCTGCTACTTCTGTCCCTGAAAGATCTCTGATTCTACTACTGTTCAAAATAGAGTCCCCTGATTGGGCAGAGATTACTAATTAGTCAGTCTGGCCTCCCTTATGTCTAGCCAAAGGATTATTGCCCTTAACTAGAACATAGACTCCTGTGGTACAAGCAACTGTGACAGGTGTAGCAGGGTCACAAGTCACAAATAATGTGAAAGTACCCAACTCGCAGCTTTTCTTAGAAGGGGTTGAAGCAGGACAAGTTTTTAGAATTTCATGTATTTCTTAGTACAATCATGGATTTGATTAAAATGATAATGATGTTACGTATTATTGTTAATATCACATCTCCAAGTGAACCGGGTTATTTTCAAATCTTTGCTAGTTCTAACATTGGCAGTCATCAGTGTGCATATCTGTCTGTTGACTGACTCTACCCCCCCCCCCCCACTCCATTAACTATGGGTCACATTTCTCTGGTAATTTTTTATTGTATGATGATACATGATAGAGACTCTGGATTCCATGAACTCCCTCCAGAGTACTGAGTTTTGTTCTAGGTAGCAGTTTAACTTGAACTTATAGAGGTTTGATTATAGGTTTTGTTACTGCACGTCTATTTTAGTTTTATCTGTAGTTTTAGAGCAAATCTCTTAGTCCAAGTATGTGCCCCTTATTTCTAAGGTGTGGCCCTCCTGAAATTTTAATGGAAAGCCTAAAGTATTTGCCACATCACTCTGTCCTGACAGGGCTTAAACTTTATTATTTATTTATTTATTTGTTTATTTATTTTTTAAGATTTATTTATTTATATAAGAACCGGGGTACAGGCCAGATGTACAGGAGGGTGAGAGGATTCACCAGAGACAGAGCAGGGATCAGAACAGGCAGACAGACTGAAATACACTGCTGAGGGGAGCAGCGTGCGAGACAGGAGAGGTCTGCCACGCCATGTGGGGCTCTTGCTAGTGGCTGGGATCGAACCTGCACTGCAGAGGCTGCGGACAGCTTCACGGTGCGGCGTTCAACCGCCTGCCCCACCCAGGAGGCCCAGGGCTTAAACTTTAATGTCAGGAGATCCTTGAGTGACAGCTGCTGAAATATCCGCTCAACCCTTTCAGCTCTCCATTGTTATAAGCCCTGGAATCTCTGGAGTTCTTGCCCTCCTTGTATCCTGAGATCTGAGGGGGTTTTACGCTCACATCTGGAGTATGCCTCTCTCTAATTGAGATTTTCCATCCCAGTTTCTAACCACACTATAGCCCAAAACTCATTCTCTGACTCCTCGGGTCAGTAAGAGTCAGGATTTCTGCCTGACTTCTACTACCCTGTTCCATGAACAGAACCTGCAGTCAGGGTTGTAGTTGTAAACACAGATTGCTCTCTCTTTCCAGGATTGAAGTCCCCACAGTTTTTGTTAGAAAACGGAATGAGACTGTATGCTTCTATTTAATCAAAAGTTCCTTGCTGAATCTGTACCCTGAGTATCTTTTAGGTTACCAAGTTTCCACTTAGTTTTCTTTAGGAGTTTATTAATCTATTTAGGTCGCCCAAGTGTTATCAGAAGCTGTGGTCTGGCTCCAGTGTCTACACTTGTAATTCTCACATATGTGAGTGTGAATCTCAGGGGAGATTGCACAGTATTGCAAAGAATTGGTTGTTAAGATCATGAGAGATCTAGGACAGCCAGAGAGTTGGTAGATGGAGCAGTGAACTAAAGGTGGAAGGAACATCATATATAAGAGTAAGTGGAAGGGAAGAGGAGGCTTGGAGAAGAGCTATTGATAATGATATGAATGCAGGAGGTAGTTTAGGAAAATTTTGTGTTAAAAAAATCCAAGGGAATAGAATTTCAAGGAGGAAGTGGTTAGTGTCATCTGTCCAGCAATATGATACAATAAAGACTTTGAGGGTATAATAAACTGAATGTTTGTATCTCCCCTAAATTAATATGCTGAATCTTAATGAAGGCATTTGGAGGTGGGAACTTTGGGAAGTGATTAGGTCATGAGGGTGACATCCTTAAATGGGATTAGCATCCTTTTAAAAAGGCCCCAGAGAGCTCCCTTGTCCCTTCTGCTATGTGAAGACATAGCCAGAAGATGACTCTGTGAAGCAGAGAAGTGGCTTCTCTCCAGACATAACATGCTGTTGCCTTGAACTTTTGACTTCCCAGATTCCTAAACTGAGAAATAAATGTTTGTTGTTTAAGCCACCCAATTTATGGTATTTCTTGCTGTAGCAGCTCAAATGGTTTCAGATGGAGGGCAAATTTTAGTAGTGGGTTGAGGATTACATTGGAGATGATATTCTGTGGATGGAAAGTATGGATTGTTCTTTTCAGAATTTTGCATGAGAAGGGAAACTAAATTGTTTAGTGAGAA